ATGATTTAATAGAGCATGACGAGCTGATTATGAATATATAGTTTTTATTTTGATTCAATCAGTGTTTGGCATATGTAGCAATTGTAATTATGAACTTCCTTATGTGAAACACAATCTAAAAGGAGTGTTGAAGTATATACTATATAGTGTTGAAATGAAGACTCACTTGGTTCTCATCCCATACTGTGACAGACATTTTTTTTATGAAATAGTTAATATCTAAGGAATGTCTAATTATTTTCTGATTATTATCTAAATAAAAGAAAATGAAGGTGTAGATTTTTCTAATTAAGAGCTAATATCAATATCACATTAATAACTCTTTGATGAATAAGTAATTGATGATAGAAGTGTTGAAGAATATAGTGAGAAAAGTGAATCATCCTACCTTCTGTTCATAGAGTGTGACAGACACCCTACAACTCCATCACTGACTGTGCAAGACGGTGTTAATATACGATCAAAGACCATACATCAATAACGTCTTATCATCATATATTAACTACTACCTGATTTCACATCTGGAGGAATGAGTAAAAGAATAGTTTGGAAATATATCGCAAAATAGATAAGTTTAAACCATCTCTCTATGGATATCAAGAAATTTTAGATCGTGTTTTACTTCTTAATCCTGAAGGGATTGCGCTAAGAACTTTTTTCATAGAAATTTTTAAACTTCAATGATGTTCTGTTTTTCAAACATTATGAAAATATTTTATTGTGATTCGGCATCAAAAATTGATTAGGAAAGTGTTACTTATTTAGATTTATAGTTCATAAGATAAAAATTATCTTGTTCAATATAGATAGTTCGAACAGGCTGTAAAGCATGTATTTGTGAGTATTCTTGTAGAAGTATATAGGCTTTTTGTATGAAGAGATAGAAGTAAGTGCCATATCTCATCAAAAATGTCAAATCATGAGTTACAACAGTGTTAATTTCGTTCTTTTAGATTCTGTTTTTCTTTTTGTTGAGAAAATTGTTTTTTTTTTCATTTAGTGACAAGATCAGATAAAAGAATGAAAATTCAATTAAAAAGCGAAATAGATAACATATTTGGAATCAGCGTCAAAAATTGCATCGAATCATATATATATATTATGTAACAGTGAACAGTGAGACCAATCGATGAAACAATTGTTCCCATTTATGCTTAAATGCTTGGCCCCACATAAAATCACATATAATAAAGAAAAATATAAATATATATCTATCACGTTTCACTTGCCAAAAAGAAATACATCAGAACGAAGAAATAGAGCGAAAGAATATAAACATCTATTTACTCATTACTATTCTACGCACCATGTTTCATTTTTTACTTCTGCTTATGAAGGTAGAACTAAAAGAATGATTTCTACCTTGTGAGTATTCGATTTTCTCTGGTGTGATTGATCGGAAGTGATCGATACTGTCTCCTAAAAAAAAACGTTTCTACTGGACTTTTTGTGAGATGAAGCCATTTCTCTCTTTTCGATAAATAGTTTCCAGCTCTCATTCATAATTGCAAATGCCACATATTCAATCATCTGAGTGTTGTACGATTTTCTCGAGTCATATACAGGTCGAATCGAAATAAAAACTCTATTAAATCATATACCACAGAACGAATAAAACATCCACTCGAATTTTGCATTCTTCGCATCTTACTTGAGTTGAAATGGTCATGATTACTCATCGATTCAGTCACCGTTTCATGTTTCATTGGTATACGCTGATATTCATAGGTATTTAATAATATTCACCTGTATTGACAGGTATCCAGTGATAAGTACCACTTCCTATCAGTAATTAATAGAACAAATATCCGATGATATCAGTTATTCGTAAAATGATTAGTGATGAATAATTTATCGTTCCTGTTGCATCCCTAGCATGTACTGAGAGAGTTTAAAAGAAAACATCTATGATCGAACTAATTGTATTTTACGATGATAGACTTCTGAGATTTTAAATACTTTAAAGTGTAGAAAAAAGATTTTTAACTACTTAAGTGAATTTGTTTTCTACTCTGTACATCAACATGCGAATGCATACAAAAATTGATGAATATCTACTTGAAGTGAACTATTAAATTCTTTATTTGGTTGACTATGAACAGAAAAAAAAATTCAATCTACATTGATTATAATTTTCACTCATAAGCATATTGATAAATGCACTGGATTTGCCAGCAATGTATCATTCGAAAATAAATCACCATTTTTTTATATTCGATGTTCATTTATATGTCTAATTGTTCTTTTCACGTGTCGAACACGAAAATTGAACTTGAATTATTGAGTTCAGCTATGCAGATATAACCAAGATAGCGGCGTCACGAAAACCTGTGCAAGAATAGTTAAATGTCTGAACAACTGTTGAAAAATAAAATTCAACTATTGTATTGCGTTTCAAATACAGAAGTATTCAACTATTTTACTTTTCATATGTGCTAAGATTCCGAGGCATCATCAGCAAGTGAGATGTTCCATGTCTTTTTATGGTGCTCTCGACAAAAGAAATTACTTGAATAGTTAAATGTATGAAATAAATACCTGAATCAAATACTTGAAGTATTCTATGAATAATCAATAACTACTAAGGATGAAATGTCAAATATATTGAGTGGCATTGGAGTATCCAAATGTAATCTTTGCTTTATATTTTATTTGGAAGATTAAAATGAGTAGTTTTGATCAAATTTTGAAATTTCTTGTTCAAAGGAAATTGTTAATTGAAAAAAAATTTCGTTTAGTAGCAACAAAAACATTCAGTAATTTTTATATTGGCATTTTGTTGGACTTTGATCTACGAAATGAACCGTTTTTTAATCGAAGTTTTGACTTGAATGAATTCATACATTTAAAGTTTAGAAACGCTTTATTCTTGATTATTTGATAAATACATCTATTCTACTATTCTGCGTTGATTACGTACGGTAAGTGAATTTTTGTAATTATTTTCGGTTATTTTGTAAACGACTTATTTGCAATATAAAGAAACTATCAACATTCTTGATTTTTCATGATAGGAAGACGATACAATCGTATACATTTTATTGAATATGCACCCGTCTGTGTTTTTTGCGTTCTTCTTAAAACAAAATAAAAATATTTGCTAGAAGATAATTTATGTTGGTTTATTTTTCTTCAGTGATGTTATCAATATATCAAGCTTCTGTTTGTTGTTTTGCGCTGCTTACTATTGGTAAAAGCAGCATGTAATAAAATTTCTTCTATGCATGACAGGTTGTAGTGTTTACGTCAGCAAAAGTCGAAAAACATTCTTGATGAAATGTTATTCATACCTGTGGGTCAATAGTTGAAAAATGTCATAGATCGAAAAGCAAGACAGCATAAATATATTTAAAATGACATCTATTTATCAACCAAAACATTTAGTTCTGTTTTGTACTTATGAAATCATCGTTGTCAGTCACAGGAGAAATTTTACATATATATGTTTATATCGTATAGTGCGCCGGGTTTCAGGTCAATTGAAAATATATTTTTCGCTCGATACGAAACTTCATCTTTTTTGTTACAAAGTCATAAACCACTGCAAGCACAATGAAGTTACAAATCGGTCATCTTTTCGCCAAAAGGTTAGGAAAAAAAGACTTCTAATTGTCTAACAACAAAACCTTCTCATACAATACGTCGAGTAGATTATTAGTTTGAATTTAATATTCTAAGTTAAGATATGGTGTCTTTTGAATCAATTTTCATCAACAAATATTACTAAAAGCTACGTTATTTAAAAAATAATACCAGTTTTGTTATGCTTCATATTTCAATCCTGCAGGAATTCTGCTATACTATTTTACTATTATATATTAAATTGTATCATTTTCTTTCAGACGTTTCATTATTCTTGTTGCAAGTGTTGTTGGAATTATATTTGCTGTAGCTACTTTTTTCATTGGATTTGCTGTTGGACGAACAAAATGTAAGAAATGGATTAGAGAAACCATTCTCTAAAATTGGAAATTCTCATATTATAAGTATCAGAGCTTCTGCTGTATCCAGACAATTTTGATTTTTCATGTAAAACTTCACAGATGTTATTAAATTAGTTTTGATCAGTCACCCTCTACGTATAAAATAGTTTTTTTTTTCACACGTGGAATAAGCATGATTAAGTATAATTTCTAGAAGCCATTTTTATTTTTCGTCAATATTTGAGATCATGGTCACTATGCGCTTTGTAACTGCTACACTGTCTGCTAACAGATATTTAGACATTATTAAAGATTAACACATTCATATTTCTTCTGCTCATAATGTTATGATATAGCATGGATGTCACTGTGTGAGTCTTTTCTTCCGTAACTTCTACACTCACACGCAAGTCATGTTAGTAGAACCCCCCATAATATAACCGGTTACGCTAAGAAGATAAAAAAATATCCATGATCCATTGTGAATTTAATATCAAAAAGACGAAAAAATGACATTTTCGAGGACGAAATAGACATAAAAATTGATATGTTTCAAATTCATTCATTAAAAACGACATTTTAAGGAAGTAAATGCAATGAATTGGATTATTAATCAAAACCAGGAAATTTAATTACTGAGTTTGAGATAGATCAGTTTTTAGGCCTGTTTTATCATTTAGATGCAATTTGTTTTACCTTTTTAAGCCATGAAAGACCTCCTCTAAAATTTTTCAATACTTTGACATTTTAGAAGTCCCAAGGCCTTTTATTCGACGGGAGGTTTGATCCAAATGCATTTTACAAGTTGTGTGATAAATAAAGCTTTCAAATGTTGCTGTCTCTTCAAAGAGTGATTTTGCTTGTGGTGAAAATGTGAATATAGAAAAAACTTTCTTCTCTGGTTAATCAATATAAACTTATTTATGTATCATGTGTATGTTCGATTAACTCTAGATGCCATGAGTAACTAGCCTCTATCTACCTTTGTTCAGACAAGTTAGGGTGAAAAATAAGCGTTAGGAATGTGACACAAAAAAAAGGACAAAGGTATCCACCGTAAGAATTAGGGATATGATCATGGAGGAGGGTGGAGGTAATATCGACAACTTGTAGGAAATATCCAGTTTTCGAGCTAAAATCATATTTTTTATTAAAAAAGAGATCATAAAATGAAAACGTAATGTTCAATCCGCATTTTTTTCTCGTCATCACATTCGTATCATGCATCATCTTTTAAAAACACTACCAGTTAACGAGGATTTTTTTGAAAACTAATTGGCGTATTTCTCAAAGGATTCTTCATGCTACAAAATTTCTTAGTAAAATGCTTTCTGGATACAGTTAGATTTTTTAAACAATTGAGTTTACTCGTTCTTAGCAATGTGATATAGTACAAATATCGAAACGAAAAATGCTTTTGTAATTGAATGAGAATTTCACATACTAATTCTAGATAGTACAAACCATTCTATGGAATTCTAAGATGATAGAAGAATAGAAGCCTTTGTACCGAGACATCATATGATGTCTAGAAAAATCAGTTCTCGCAAGGCAATTCTTAGGAGTCCAATTTTGCTGAAAACCTCATTATACGTATAATTGGTGACGTTGAATTTATTGTGAAAATTTTGAATTTTTCTATCATAATACTATAAAGTAATTTACTGATTACAATTTAATTAGTTATCTAATTAGCTAATAAGTTTGAATTGGCAGTAAACTCAAAAAGTCAATATTTGAACGTATATTCATGATAAAAGGACTGTGAAAGAAAAACAATCCTTGTAACAAAATCAAAGTTAAATGAAAGGTGGTCATGTTACATTTTGGCTAAAATAGACCATATAGCTTTAATGAATACTAATTCAATTCAAGTTGACGCAACAATTAAAATTAGTTTATATCTATAGTTGTTCTAAGTCTAAATTCATATAATCAATTTCTTCTTTTGAAAATCGTGCATATCAGAGAACGCATCATTTTTAAATCGTACAATTTAGAAGTAGTTCGGGTGAACCTTTTTTAGTTATCAATTACTGAATTCTATGTACAAATTGCTTATTTTTTGCTATAGCATTTTCATCTTCTCCAAATACAGCTATTAAAGCATGCCGTGGTAGTCTCGAAGGTTATCCTGTTAGTGGTTCATCTATACTAGGAAAATATTCACAAGCAGCGATTGCTGTTGATAATGCTATATGTTCACGAATTGGTCGCCAAATATTGGAACGTAATGGTACAGCTGTTGATGCCATTATAGCAGCAGCTATTTGTAATGGAGTTATGAATCCCCATTCGATGGGTATTGGTGGTGGATGTGTTATGGTTATTTATTCTAAGTACGATTAAAAAAAATAATAATTTATAATATTAATATTTTCATTATTTTTTAGACAAAAAAATAAAGCATATAGTCTTATTGGAGTAAGTTTTAGAAAAAATTTGAAAGAAGAAACAAATGAAATCTTGTATATCTAGAGAGAACAAGCACCATTAGCTGCTAATTCAACAATGTTTATAGGTCATGAACATATGTCTATGATTGGTATAGATTATTAATAGATGAACATGAAATAGAAACAAAAAAATCTCTTTTCTTTTTTTGTTTTCTTAGGAGGTTTATCTATTGGTATACCAGGTGAACTACGAGCTTATCGTAAAGCATATTCTGAATTTGGAGGAGGTGTTTCATGGAAAGAACTTTTTCAACCAACAATTCAATTATGTCGAGAAGGAATTGTGATTAGTAAAGTACAAGCTACAGCTATTAATGAAACAAAATCTGATATTCTTAAAGATCCAGGAATGAGGTTTGAATTTAACAAATTTTAATTTCAATGAAATATTTATTTATTTTGTTTTTAGAGAAATTTTTGTTAAAAATAATCAAACAAATGAATTATATGGTGAAGGTGATACTATACAACGACTTAAATTAGCTCGTACACTTGAAATCATTGCTGAAAAAGGTGATGATGCTTTTTATACAGGTGAATTAGCTGATGTTTGTATGATCTTTTTTGATCGAAATACAAAACTATGATTGTACTCGAGAATTGAGGTCCTATTGGAAAAATTAAAAAAATAATTTAGCATGTCATCTAAATAGCAACTTGTGCCAATATTTCTTAGCACTTATTAATGTGCACAAAAAAGTAGAGTTGAAAACTTTTTAGCATCTTAGAAGATTCTGTCATCGGGACAAAAGTTTTTGTTTAGGATTCACGAATAACAAAGAGGGTGATGCTCAACCCTAGCCGGTATCAATTTCGAATATTAGTATTACTTTTAAATCTTTCCTTAAATATATTATTCGAATATAAAAGTTAATTCATCACTTTCGATTATCAACATACATCAGTTATATTAATTTTCAATGGATCAGCAAGTTCACTTCTTTTAGCATAAGCATATTTGAATGCTTCAATAAGACGATGATAAAATAAAGTAGTAGTTGTTAGATTTTCTAAATCTTTTGGACTAAAGCCATAACCTTAATAAAATACAAAAAATAAAATAATCGAAAGAAATATTCAAATACAAAAAAAACCTCGTAAAATATTCAATATAAATGAAAGAATAATTCCACTTGATGGTGGATATGATACAAATGTTGTTAATGATCCATTAAGATTAACTTGTAATGCTTCACGAAAATCAACTTGATAATTTGCAAGATCTTCTTTTGTTATTATTCCNNNNGATCGATGACTACACAGCAAACGAGTAGTTCATATTAATATTCTATTCATGTATACAGTTCTATTTGAATTAAGCATTTCAAGTGAATTACATGATCCACTTAACACTACAAATGAATAATTCAGACCAACTTTTTATTCAAGTATTTTGCTGCATTCGAAGGCAACCACTGTAGTTCATGATATAATCAACAAACAAATCACAAATGAATAATTTAGACCAACTTTTCATTCAAGTATTTTGCTGCATTCGAAGACAAGTACTGTAATTGATAATATAATCAACAAACAAATCACAAATGAACAATTTTAACAAAGATTCTATTCAAATGTTTTGCATATATTTAAGGAGAGAAGTACAGTTGACAACATGATCGACGAACACACAAGCAACAAATAATCCATAAGAAGATTCTATTCAACCATATATTCAATTCGAAGCAAAAGTGTGCTGTCTATTATATGATCAACAGACACATGGCGAATAAATAATTCATAGCAAGATGCTATTTAAATACTTTGGTCAATTCAAAGTCAAGATGTAGACTTGATTACATCTTCTACCAAATACGCGAGAAATGATTATTTCAAACAAAGATTCTTTTTAAATATTTGACTAAATTCGAAGTAAATGTTTAGGATTGATTTCATGATCGACAAACACATCACCAACGAATAATTTCTAAAAAAATCATGTTCGAATATGGTGCACGAATCGAAGCAAAAGTTTAGCCTTCCTTAAAGAATCGAAAAACATCCGATAAATGAGTACTTCAAACAATGGTGCTATTCAAATATTTAGACCAATTTGAAGACAAGGTTAGCAGATGATTACTTTATCAAAGAATACCAGATATCTGAACAAATAATAATAAGATTTCATTGAAATATTTAGACAAATTCGAGACAAAGCTTCAAATTTGATTACATGGTTGATGCGTACACAAATAATGAATTATTCATAAAAAGATTTGATTCAAATATTTTGTTGCATTGGAAGAGAAGATTCAAAGTTGATTACATTGTGGATGAACACAGGAAAAATGAGTACTGCAAACAAATGTGTCATTGATGTATGTTGCTTAGTTTGAAACAAAAATAATCAATTTATTACTTGATCGACGAACACATCACAAACGATTAATTCAAACAATGCTCTTATTCAAATATTTTAGTCATGCCGAAGGACAGACTGAGACTTGATTGCTCGATTGACGAACATACGAACAAGGAATAAATCATAAAATAAATGTTCTATGAAAATATTTTGCTTAGTTCGAAGCAATAATTTCAACTTTCTTATCTGATACACATACACAGTGCAAATGAATAATTCATAAATAGACTGCATTCAAATATTTTGCTGCTTTTGAAGGAAAGATTAGCAGTTAATTCTTAGATCAACAAATACAGAACCAATGAAGAATCAGAGGAAGATTTTATTTAGATATTTTCAGTAACTGGAGGCAAATGTTAAGCGTTGATTACATGATCCACTAAACATCACAAATGAATAGTTACTACTAAGAATATTCTATTCGAATATTTTGCTCAATTGCAAGGAAAAATGTTCACTTGTTTTACATAATTGAAAAACACGACAAATGAATAATTTATAGGACGACTATCTTCAAATGTTTCGTATAACGAGAAGCAAATGTTTAGGGTTAATAGCATGATCGAGAAACATGAGAGATGAACAATTCATACCAAAGTTGAATTGAAATATTTTGCTGAATTTGAACGAAAGATGGCGAGTTGATTACGTGTTTGACGGACACAGGATAGATGAATAATTACTATAAAGTTTTTATTCAAATATTTTATTCAACTTGAAGAAGACAAACTTTGAGTTGCTCACACAATCGACGAACACGACAAATGAATAATTGTTAAGAACTTTCTATTCAGATATTTTGCTCAATTCGAAGAAAGTAGTTAAAAGTTTTTACATACTTGATGAATACATGACAAATGAATAGTTTCTACCACAACAACGTTTATATTTAAGCATGTTGCTCATACTAAAGAAAACATTTGGAGTTGATGACATGAATAATAGATGCACTACAAGCGAACAATGCTAACCACGGTTCTATTGATATACTTTGTTTACTTAAATAATAAAGATTAAAATTGATAACATCATCGAAGATCACACTGTAAACAAATAGTTTTCATATTGAGTAGTCTATTCAAATGTTTGAATCAATTCAAAGGTAACATTTTGGATTGCTTATATGATTAATGAACACATGCATAAATGAATGATTCCTACCACAACAAGGGCTATATTTAAACATGTTGCTCATATCGAAGAAAACATTTGAAGTTGGTGACATGAATGAAGGATATGCAACAAATGAATCATTCTAATCTTCAGGAGTTCATTTAAATATTTGCTCACTTCGAAGAAAAAGTTGGAGTTTGTGAAATAATCGACGAATACATCGTCAATGAATAATTCTTATCAGAATTTTATTCAAATATTTTCTTCATTTTAAAGAAAATATTTCAAGCTAGTTATATCATCGACGAGCATATGACGAGTGAATAATTCGAATCAGCCATTGCGTTTGCAATCAGTAAGAGCAGCAGAAAAAACTTTAGACAAAGCACCGCACCTGTAGTAATCGACGTTGAAGTTTGTGAAGCTGAAGAAACTTGTCAAATATTTGATGTTTTTTTGTGTTATTAGTTGTCGTGCTGTTCCTTTTATATGTTCCTTGGTAGGCAAAACATAAAAATATCGAGAGCAGCTCACTACTGAATGTGTTGTTTTGAAAAGAAAAAGTATTTAACTGTGACATTCATTGGCAAAGAACGAACGAAGAAAAAGGAATAGTAAACGAGTGATGTTTTTATTGATGCCTAGTTTCTTCTATGTCAGCGCATTAAATGCGTGTCGGTGATGAAAGTAGCATTATGTCACGCACGTCAAAACAAACATGGTGACCTTAGACGAAAGGATTGATACTTTTTCTAATAGAGCGATGGTGCGTCTGTCCAATTTAGAGAAGGAACGTAATTTGACGCCGGTGAAAAGCATGATCTTTTTCATTCTGCCGAATATAGTCTATGGTGCAAAAGTAATTGCCGAAATGTCGAGGCATGATTTTCCGCTTTAGTTCATCGTAGAGAGTTAAATATTTGTTTTTGGAAAGAGCATGTTTTGAAGTACAAAAAACAAAATCAACAAACAGAATATAAGCCATTAGGCCACAGAGAACGTATTTTGTTTTCGAATGTCCTTTATCATAGCTTGCAACATTTTCTGTTCAATTTCTTTTGGCCTTTATTTTTATTCGACGAGCTAACGAATCTAAATCTTTTACTGTCCAATTACGTGCATACACTTTTTGTTTCAAAAAACTCCAAACAGTTTCAATTGGACGTGCTTGAGGCACATTTGGTGAATTATCTGACTTAGGCACAATTGTTATTTTTTTTTCTTTTAATCGATCAAGAACAACACCAGCATAATGTGCACTAGTTTTATCCGGCCAAAAGACGAAATCATTATTTTTATGATGTTCTTCAATAAATGGTAATAATCGTTTATTAATACATTCATTTAAACAAATATTGCTGGTGATTGCTTGTTCACTTTTATGCGCATAAATATCGGATACGCCTTTGGATAACATAACCATCCACACTAAAAGTTTTGGTGAAAATTTCTTTTTCTTTTTATATTTAACATCAGATGGAGTTGTTAATGGATTAGTTGTATAATATCTTTGATTGCATTGAACATTATCACCACTTAAACCAAAATATTTCTCATCATCCAGAATAATAACATATCCATTCAAAATCACTCTGTAAAGTTTACCACAGCCTTTCCGAGCTCTTTTTTCTTGGTCTACACTTTCCATTTTTGACGACTTTAGTTTTTTTTCTAATAATAATCGATGTCCTTTATCTTAATGGACGACTAATTGTTGTATGGTGAACTTTGTGACGTCTTACAATTTGCCGTTGACTAATATCTGTTTTATTATTAACAGCTTTCACCAAACGATTGAGTTGTTGATTGGTTATTTTAACTGGACGACCTTTACTTGGCAAAAATTCAGTTGTACCATATATGAGATACTTTTTTAGCATATATCGAAGGGTTCTTTCTGGTATGTTGCGTTTTTTGGAATAATTAACGGTTGTTTTCACGTTCTGATTTGCTAAATCTTCATAAATGTTGCAAACACGTTTTACAAGTTCTTCCCCTTCTTGGCGTGTCACTGAATATAAAGAAAACTATATCTATCAATAAGATAGCGTTTGAAAGCTTAGAAGATGCTCTGTCAAATTAAAAAAATCGACTCTCTACGATGTACCTAAGCGAAAAATCATGCCTCGACATTTCGACAATTACTTTTGCATTGTAGGATATGTTAGCTCCTTGTTTCAATGTTTGACAAATAGTCTTTCTATCGTTCGATTGTAAACGACCATTTTATATCAGAGCAGCTTGCTTTTCTCAGACAGGTTGCTGAAAAGTGATAGAGATTTTCAAAGTTATTTCCAGTGGAATTTGCTGAAGGAATCCTATTTACTCAATGCCGATTTCCGAATAGAAAAGAATAAATGGCAGAAGTCTCGCTACGTTACTATTTTTACCACGATTGTCTGATCAAACGCTGTCAAAATTTGCAGATCTCAAATAAATGACTTTGAGCTTTCGATGGATATATTACGAAACTAACAAATAAAAGTATAAAGTGGTGAGCTGAGTTTTAGAGTGAGAAATCCGATTTTCCCTCCATCTAAAAGACAACTCTTTCTGGAGGAGCTTTCGCGAACATTCCAGAATCTTCTTTAACTTTCAAAATAGTCAACAAACTAATACATGGAACTGCGCGACGAAAACGTACTATGATAGTGATCATTAGTAATACTTAATCTATGCTAACTTCACCTGCCAAATAATGTGTATCAATAAAGTCTATTAGGTTCATAGGCCAGCTAGCTCTGTTCTGAACTTCTCGAAAAAGTCTCAACGTTTGCTTTTGAAAAGTTGAGTTTCTTAGCACGAGCACGAATGAACGAAATTTCTTGCTTAACACACTAAAAAATAGAAGCTCGAAAACTGAACAAAAACAGTTATTTAGAGATTATATTGCATGTACTGATTTATTTTTTCTATCAAACATTATTCAAAACTAGTCCTGTTTTTCAGTTAAAAAGGATCCATTTTGGGAATGTATCCGTAGTCGTGCAGCCGTGTGGACAATCACCATGCTAATTTTAAAAAATCCAGAAGCTATTGCACAATAGGGACGCTCAACCGTGCTCAATTGATATTACTGAATTCAATGAAACATTGCCCGCATGTAGCCTCAAGTGAAATGTGAAAACAATGAATTCTGATTCGGTTGGATACTACTCAATTAAATATCCAGAATGATTGTCATGCTAACATGATGACATATTAGAGTTTAAATCTTCAGAGCAATGTGACATGAACCGATTTGAGTCACGGCACTATTCTTTCGGTCTTGTCGCCTTTTCGTCTCATACATCCTGTCATGATTGATTGACGTCTCTCATAATCAAATTGGCAGACATCTTTTGTTTCTAACAAATGCGTTCATCATGTGCGGGGAAAAGGGTGTGAGTGTGGGTAGGGATGGCACTTTAACTTTAAAAGTTTAAAGTTAAAGTACCGAATTTTCTTACAAAAGACGTTGTTTTGAGAAAATAATGAAAGAAGGAGGACCAAATTACGGACTGATCGTCCCAAACAAGATGAGCCTAATTTTATTAGCATCATAATCAGCATGGAACTCAGATTATTTTTCACAAGTTTATTTTGTTTTTCATAACAACTCAATTTTTTGACTCCTAGGATATCCCTCAGATTTCGAAAAAACTTTTTTCTCGTCGTTCCATTAAAAGCCTTTCTACTTCGATAGCGCTATGTGTGCTGATCCCAAATATCATACTATTTTTTGAAAAGTACTAAGATAATAAGAAAGATCTGAGGTACTATCTGAAAGCCGTAAAAAAAACAGCTTTTCATCCGAGAGCCCATCAAAATCCGAACTAAGCTGGTCGTAAATAAGCTCATTTGATAGAGAATTTTATTCTCTATCAGAATCTATAAGAACATCTTAGACATTCGAATTTTTTTTCTATCGATAAATGCCAAACACCGCCCCGATTGGGTTATCTCAGTACAAATAATGATTTTTTCACTGGATATGCAATTCAATGTGCTCTTTCTGATAATGCCATTTTCAACTTGAAATTTGATGTCTTAAAAAGCACTTTTCCTGTCATTACTATGATTGACAGCCAATTTGGCTAGTATTTTATAGTTTTCGAACGGAAAATACTTCGTTTGACTTTTAAAAAATGTCATATTTGAAATCAGCACAAAATTTAAGTCGATTCAAATATATTTCAAGCTGGTTCTATGACTTTCATTTTTCTGTCAACATTTCCTCCTTTGCAACCTTAAGAATGACCGAAAAAATGAACCTCGTGAAAAACGGTTTGAGTAGTAGAAACGCAATTTCGGACTTGTAAAACGCTATTTTTGGAGAAAATCAGAGGTTTCTAGGTAATTAAATAGTTGTTTTCATGATGTTCATTTTTTCGGCCATTCTTGAGAAGATCAAGGAGGAAAAGTTGACGAAAAAACGAAAGTCGTAGAACCAGCTTGAAATGCGTATGAATCGACTTAAATTTTGTACTAATTTCAAATGTTACATTTTTTAAAAGTCAAACGAAATATTTTCCGTTCGAAAACTGTGAAATACTAGTCAAATTAGCTGTCAATCATAGTAAAGAAAGGAAAAGTGCTTTTTAAGACATCAAATTTCAAGTTGAAAATGGCATCATCAGAAAGAGCACATTGAATTACATATCCAGTGGAAAAATCATTATTTGTACTGAGATGACCCAATCGGGGCGGTGTTTGGCATTTATTGATAGAAAAAAATTTGAATGTCTAAGACGTTCTTATAGATTCTGATAGAGAATAAAATTCTCTATCAAATAAGCTTATTTACAACCAGCTTAGTTCGGATTTTGATAGACTTTCGGATGAAAAACTGTTATTTTTGAGGTATATTTAAGTTTCCAAAACAGGAAATTTCTCTTGAAAAGAAAATTTACTACCGAGTTAAAAAACAGTACCTCTGCCAACATTCTATAAGTTCCGAAATTATCAAAACAAATACAAAAATTACCGAAATTTCTCCTTCGATATTATTTTGAACATATCTATCTATTTTGTAAGAAGAATTATCGAAATTACTAGCTATTTTTCGGAGTCATCAAGAAATTATGGAAATTATGAAAAGGACGGAGACGTATAAGAAGCCAAATCGGCCCACTGCCAAATTTCAATTAAAAAGTAGCGAGGCTCAAGTAACAAAGTCCGCTGAGACGTTCAAAAACCACTCCACGTGAAACAGATTCAGTCCTTTAGCAAAATTGGTTACTGAATGGTTCTTATACAATTGTTATATAAAAACCCTTCCTTTTAATAATAAAACGGCCCTAACTACTACCTTCAGATGGTGTTTTTGAGCTCGTATTCATACCATTAGAAAGAGCAATTTAAACTGCACACGTTCCTCTATGAGCAATAAAACTATCCCTAACAAATAAAATTTTTGCAGTCACCACTTTTTACCATAAATGATCTATAATCGATATAAACCGATGCCGATCCATGTTCTGACCAATCGTGTTCCCTTATTCTCCATTTAAAATGCTTTCGATCACATGTCAATCGACAGAGATTGAAAAGCTCTACAAAATGAGTGTGTGCACGGGAAACAAAAGCGGGCTAGATATTCTGACAATTCTAAGAACTGCACATGTAGAGATAAATGTTTTCCCTAGAACTAAGAACGCATTGTACAGAATGTTATTTTTGAATTGTTGTTATCTGGAATGTAAAGAAGGATTGACAATTTTTAAGGATCATTTGGCAATGAAATGGAATCACTTTGTAGAATAACTAGTACATTGATCGGCATTATTCCTACTTTGAGCGAGTGATTGAATGAAAGATATTTTGTATGAATATAGCTCACTAGGAACCCCTCTTCCTTTCGACGGACGTCCGAAATTTTGCAGAATAGAAAGAAATATGTACTTCTTACGTTGTGGCAATATTATGATACGTGTGTGTTTTGATTGTTGATAAATCGCTTTAGAAAAAATAATGATAAAAGTCGAGAGCGATTAAGAGGATCATTCATTATATTCTTTCGACCATATCTAGAATGCCTAATTTCCACCGCATTTCATGTAAAGCCAAATTAGACAATTGTCGACATCATCCAATCAATAATTCTCTGCTAAAATTATATATATGTGCTCGCATGGGTGTGTTAGTATTAGAGGAAGGTGGGGTGTAGATGTGGATGTTGTTGTTTTCTTCTTTGGGACCCATACCCATACCCACCCTTGGTGATGTAAGCAGACATGCCGATAAATCACATTCAAATTGATAAAAACCGAATAATCGATAAAAAGTCAAATAAAGTCGATTAAAATAGGTCGAAATAAAAAAAGTTTGATTAAAATCGAATTAAATTCATGTCATTTTAATTGATTTTAAATCAAGAAAAAATCGATTACAATCAGAGTTTCTGGTTGATTTTTATATGGTTACTTATATTTTAGCAGTTTATCTTCTTTCAGTTGGAAGCTTCTCATAGGTTTCTAATTTTCTCCAATTTTCGGAAATATCTCCCTGCCTTGATGTTCTTGCACCACCACTGTATTTTTGATCAATTTTGAATGCTTTATCAGAAAATATGGCTAGATGTTATAGCATGTAAAACATCGATTTCTGACGTGCTTTGAATCGATTAAAATAATGTAAATTTTAGACACATTTCAGTCAATTCAGAAATCCTTGTTTATATTCTTGGAATTCTAACCAACATTTTGAATAAGGCCGAAAAAACTGAGTAAAAATCATGCAGAAAATTAACGGGAACTTACATTGTCTATTCAAAAAAACGGCATCTTTAATATAATGTTTTAGAAATTGATGCAGTCATGCACACCATACAGATCAAGTCCAACATCCTTATATATTCAAAGAGAATGTAAGCTGACATAATTATATGTTGTTTTATATGAAGTATGTTCATACTTTCTATTTCTTATCAACGAATCCACAGTCGAATTGCACAATCAAAATTTACGTTTTTTGTGATTATACATGTGGGCGATAATCGATGTTGCAGCCATTTCACAAGTTCATCTTCTGTTGTCGTTGTATCCGCATTTAATTTGTTATCGTGACATTGAACATGTAATGCTCGAAGATTGATCATTGTATTAACAACATCAACTATACATTCTCGATTTTCTACAGCAATAGAAAGCGCTTCACACTGAATACCAAGTAATAAACTACTCAATATAGTACATTGCTGCTGATTATAGTATGCATTAATGGAATCAAATTTTAGTTGAGATACTGTTTCGCTTTTAAATTCAAAAGATGAATTCAACCATCTAGATCCATTGAATGTTAACGAAAATAGATGTGATGCACTATTGAGCAATGTTTGAAGTTGAGTTGGAATATGTTGACTGTGCTCATTCGATGATACCCTAAGAAAACGTAATCGATTGAGTTTGGGAACCATAGAGCAAAAATGATGATTAACAGGTAGTTCTATAGAAAGATCTTGAATGTTGAAGAATTGAATGCTAGAATCGGACAAATATTGACTTAAATCAGCTTTGCAAGTTAAACGTCTCACACAATCATATGGCCATTGATCATTATTCGTTGGACAAGTTGATTTCGATATATTCGGAAAAACGAACTCAAAATCAGAAAAAGCGAATGGTAAAGTGTAGACATCAGCATCCGATCTTTCAGGATTCCAATCACATTGAACGAACCAACAATGTTCATCAAGACAAAATCGACTTCGAAAAGAATCGAATGCTTCATCAATTTATTTTTCGCTGTTACTATTGTATTTCTTACTGTAAAATTTCATTCTAAATCTTAATCTTCTAACATTTATCATGTGAATACGAATAATTTCTTCCCATTTTTGTCCATCGAGATAAGTATTCTTTAGATCGACTTTCAAATTACATACATTCGGCAGTCATTGGAAAAAATTCTCGAACATATTAAACCATATCAAGCCAAATGATAGATTCCATGTGGTTATGGATGATATATTAGATAATTGCTGCTGAAATGCAGATGACAGTTGGAAATGAGTGGAAAAATATCGAAGATGTGGCGTGTGCTGCAGCAAACAATCGATATGACTCAATGATGGTTCCGTGCCCAAGATAGATAGATATTCAAGAGTCGATGAAATACTTGTCGGTACAAGAAAGTATAGTTGACTTTCAAGGTAAATATGCAAGTAACAATGAGTGAGTTTTGGTAAACTTCAAATATTATTCACAAACATGAGAGAATATGATAGATCACATGAAAAAGAGCCTTGTTCGAAAGTCCAATGAGTTAGTTGAGAAAAGCAACTAAGATTCAATAGTAGCTTGTGTATGGTTGATTCAGAATGGCAATGAAAGAATGAAAGTGAGCGCAAATAAACCAACTCACAAAGAGTGAAATCATAAGCATGAAAACGATTTATTTGTCCAGGTGTGTCATCCTTGTCTGAAAGACAAAGTGTAGATATTCGATTGATCATTGGCATAAGATATTGTCGGCAAATTGTATCAAAATCGTTTTTCGATACTGTTCGTAAGTCAAGTCCATGAGTTTGAAAATGATTAAGACCGAGTGCATCAAAACGAGAATTAAGACCAACAAATGTATGAATAAGATGAGCACAAGTGAGAAATTTGAATAGATCGAGTATCAACTCATTGGCCAATAATTCTAAACTCATTTTTGATGTGCTTGTGCTGACGTGTTTCTCAGGCAAAAAGAATCTATTCAGATTATGAAAAAATTTTGTGCAACTTGTCGGACAGAAAGAAAAAAAAATAATAAAACGAGCTTCATGTCAAGATGACTCATTCGGGTATTTTTTTTTCTTGATTTCTTTCTGTTTCATTGCCATCATATTTACTTCTTTCTTTGGCACTTATAGAAAAGAACGAGAGGACAAAGACTAACGGGAGAGGGGGGGGGGGGCGAAATCAACAAGCAAAAATAAAATACAAAAACATCATAGATGAAACCGGTATCGATAAGAATTTTAGACTGGTCGATCTATTACTAGTCTAACTTGAGCGTGTTGGTGTGGTTCTTCACTCAAATTACAGTCACTCTCGCTCAAACTCACACCCACCACCCCTAATTTATAACTGTTCCAAAACCTTCTGAAAGACAATGACTTTGTTAGCTTTCAGTCGATTTTATACCTTTTGATTCAGTACGCTATTCTAAATGTCACTGACAGGAACAAAAAACAAACTTTTCTGTTATTCCGTCGACAAGTAAAACATGTGAGCCTACCATCAACAGAACACAAAATCATGCTGCAAAAACAAGTCGCGTCCTGTAACCGATTTCGTAGGTACCATCAATGTTTTAATGAATTTTTAATAAAAGAGTAAATTGATCTAAGTAGTTTGACGCTGAAACTTTCGAGTAGTTCGCTAATGATGACAACTATATGAAACAATGGCGATAAACAAATGCAATCTCTTACTGATTGCATTCATAGTATCAATGGTAACCATAAAAAAAGGCAACAACTTCAATTTTCGTCATTGTTCAACGACTGATAATCAGGTAAACAAATGTTTTAAATGGCCAGACTTGTGTAGAAATAAAAACTACCATTATCAACATCCGTCCTTGCCAAAGGCAACCAATCATCAAACTTCATCATCGCTCCCTATACAGCCAGCGATGGCTTCCATTAACAAAAGGTAGTAATCACAGTTAGAAAGTCTTGTCACTGTGTTTTGGAACATTGAAGATATGTATGTTCTCGAAAACCAAAAGGTTTTCGATATTGTCTAGTGTATTCACCAATAGGTGATCATCGATCCGAATTTGCTACAGTTTGACTTTACTTGCTAAAGCGATTTTAATTCAATTAGGGTGGGTGTGGGTGTATGGGTGTACGTATGGGTTTGTGTCTACTACTCGATGTGATATCCACACCCTTTTCTTTATACATATAAAAATAAAGGACAGATTAAACTCAATTTGGCCGTATTGTAAATTTTAGTCAAAAAATATGTTCACTTTTTTTCTATTGTATAGTAAATTGTCAACAAAAAAAAAACAAATTGCAATAGTGTGAAGCAAGAAAAGCAATGGGAAAAAATTCAGCTGCAGAGCACTGCATATTTCTAGAACTACTTTTATAGATAAGCTTTAACAAAACTAATAATGAATAGGTCATTTTATGTTTATATTATGATTAAAACAAAAAAGTATCTTGGTCAGAGACTGAAATAAATAAGGAAATTTCGTTTCGGTTTCAGTCTCTAGTATATATACGGTAGCATTCAACATTAATTATACATCTTATGTAAATATAGATGTTCATTTCACAGTGAAATCTTACTAGTGTTTATGATTAAAATATATTTGACACTTGTTTCTTGTTGGAAATCATAAATTACACAGTATTTCACTGCGAAATTCGTATCTATATTTATATAAAGTATACGATCAATATTGAATGTATTCAGTGGGCAGCATGTTTAGCATTTCTTATTTAACACAGCAAATTTATAAAGGAAAGACATAATATTTAGTGCAGATGAAGTCTGAAACTTCAGCTACATTTTAGGAAAAAAAACGTGCATCTCAATACTTTAAACAGCTTTTGATGTCTAAAAAAACACGGTCATCTATTAGGTATATGATCAATTTGAGTATCACTGTATGCAATCAGGGTGTTCCGAAAATTATGATCACCCCATGAATATAACAGACTCGACAGCTGATCAAAATTTACCGAAATCTTTTTTCCATTTGACAAGGGAGACTAATCAGCCCTGATTCCTAAAGATCGAATACATTAACAGTGTATAAAAAGATAGCACTCTCGGTTACAATTTAAAAATTCTGTTATTTTCAATGCTAAAAACAATATGAACCGTTTTTTCGATATTTCAAAAGACTTAAAGACAAAGCCATTCATCACTACAACAAAAGAAAAAATATTTGATTCTTATGAATAAGAAGAATTCAGAAATAATTTGAATCATATATACGTATATGTTACAATTAGTTGACAGTAAAATATGGGAGACAACACGGGAGAACATTGAAAGAGTAGAGAATAAGACTCTTTTAGTTCAATAAAGCTGCTTGTGAATATTGATAAGAAAAGAAATACTATGAGGAACAGAAAATAATTGCTTGTTCTGATGCCAGTTTCTTGCACACGACCTCAGTACTTCAATCATGGGTAATACAACATGAATACAGTTCCTTTTTGGTTTGTTCTCATGTCTGTACAAATAGAAAGAGAAAAAACAGGAACTATAAGACGAGTACTTATTAATGGTATTTTGTGTACATGACAATCCATTGATAAGCACCTCATATATTTTTCAATTCTTTATTCGTTCTCAATTCATGACCTTCTGTGAGCACGCCCATTAAACTAACTGTAAAAACATTGCCTTCTGCGGATGAAAAAATGCAATCTTGATATGAGTTTCTTTGTAAATACTGGTGTAACACATCTTTATGTATTCGTTGGTTTTCTGCAACTTATTCATTATCTAACTTATGTCGATGACATCGATCAGAAAGTTTTCAATCCCTTTGACGAATTCTTTCACTGATATACAGTCATTGGATGATATAGTAATGGTGTTTGAAATTGAATACGTCTCCTGTCTCGTTTACATTCACTGTTTTTGTGATTCACCAGGTAACTCTGATTTCATATCAATTACACTTTCACCATATCAGTTAATATAAATGCTAGAGTACACGTGGTACCTTACTTTATGCTTTCACTATGTTTCGTATTCGAAGTTTTATTTCGATAATTTGAAATAAAATTGAAACTTTTCACTGTATATCGTCAATAGATGTGCTGCCGCGTTAGATCAAATCTCATCTCAGATATGCCTCACTTCAAAATGATAGATGCTATAGAAAATGAAATTTACAAGAATGTTTCTCAAGCAATTTCATGGATGATGAGTGTTGGTGAGTTTCAGCCATGAGTAAGTAGCTGTAATCAAATTAATAATCAGATATGAATATGCCTATTTTTATTGCGACGTTTCCTCTTTCTTTTTTTAACGTGTATTTAACATGTATCAGTCTTGCGCCCGTATATTGATTTATTTTTTCGCTCGCCAAGCTGAGTGACTATTACTCGTTCTCTTACTTCCTCGCATACAATGTGTCAGAGAAACTACACAAGATTTAAAAAAAGAAGCGGTAGTATGTGACAAAAAACATAATCACATATACAGTAAAAAAAATATTCTACGTTCGCATATACATACTTGCTAATATAATATATGAAACTGTCGTATTTATCTATATTGTGTACAACAGCATGGCATCAACAGTATAGATAATAGCAGATTTAGGTAGAAACGTCATGAGTAAAGAAAAAACCTTTTACTGTTGGAAACTTTTCTTATATTAAATGTAAAGGATTGAAGGAGGCATTAGTAATACTCTATATAAGTAACTTTAATTTATCATGTAGGTTAAGAATGCTTTTGGGCTTAAATGGATACCGCAGCGAAGTGAGAAGATTCTCTGCACTGTGCTATATCAGTTGATCAATGTTAAATAATACTCTTCTTTTAAAACAATTTTTCTCTCAATATTCCAGTTTTTTTTAATATTTTTACTTTCGATGAAAGCACAGATCACCAAGAGAGCGATCAAAATGAAAAATGTCTTTCGACAAATTATCTGATGCAAGCCACTTGGGTAACAAATTCAGAGACACATTTATCATCGCAAAATGGTGCTATTATTGATGGGATGATATAGTCTAACGTGCTCACTCTGCATGATACCGATTGTAGTTGTAGATGCTTTCAATTTAAAGAAGTGATAGGCATGGTATATTGAAATGCTTTTTTTTCAGAAGGCCTCTAAATCAAAATCCACTGATTGATTATCTTTAGCATGTGAAGTTTGACTGGTGTAATATGTTCGAAAATCTCCTAGTAGATCAATGATTGGCTCGAAAACTATTCCAGTAGAAAAACATTTTTCTGCGAGAAAAGGCTTTCAGCACAATCCCGATGGAATAAAGATTTGAAACATGATGAAGCCGTTTCAAATGGACATAAAGATGCTTCGTATTTTTGTAACGATTCGCTACGAAATTAAACGAGAATAATTCTCCAAATACTGTCGTTCATTGCCTTTTTTATATAGACGACGACACTAGAGAATATTCTCTTCAATTATTATCATAACAATGAACTGATTTTATTTTTTATCGTCTTAACGTCAAAACTCATTATCAAGCAAAAAATATCGATGTAAATAAAAAAATGTTCTTCATTTAAGTAGAATTGCTGATTTGGATAAGAAAAACGCGAAGAATTTCACAAAGATTTTCAGTTTTTCACAAGTTGTGTTTCAATTTTTTTTTATTCAATCACTACGACTGATCATCAGATGGCCACGAAGAAAGACAAAAAATGACCAAGAGACACCAGTAATCTGTTAAATTGAATACCTCGTTTGATAGGTTTAATTTTATCTCAAAAGGTGACACTATAGCCAATAAACGAATGAAAATAGATGGCGCAGACGGTGGCCTGATGTCTGAGGATTTCCAGTCAGAAAACCATTCGGCTGTTGTGAACGTCACATCAGACAGAGTCATTGGGGAAAGTCACATGGTTCTGTTTTACAATTCTGTTAAGCAAGAACATAGAGATGATATCAGCTGTTTTAAAAGGTAAGAATAATAGATTTGCTTATGTTTTGTAAGATATATTCACATTTGAACTGATGTTGATGTTTAATAGTAGCCTTGAAACACTACCAAACCAAATACTTTTTCAAATATTTTTGTATATTAATCAGCCGGATATAGTTTGCGCATTTTTTGGTCTCAATCATCTGTTCGATTCCCTCGTAATGGAATTCGTTCGTCATCTCACTATTCCTGTTGATAAACGAGCGGATTGGTTTATGGATTACATGCCTCGTGTTCAGGATGCAATCGAGATGATCACTATTGAAATTGAATCAGTGCTTCGTGTCTTTTCATGTACACATTCATATCCAAATCTTCGTTCAATTATTCTCAATATTAACGAAGAGGTTATCGCCAAGTTGAACGTCGAGCATTGCTCCACGTTGGGTGCTGTTATCTCATGTTTGAATCTTCTTAGAATGTATAACGCCTGACCGACAGATTTCAGCGAGCCAATGCCACCTCTTTTTGAAACTGCGTGTGTAGATCGTATTGTCGATTGCCAAGTATGTGATTGTGGCGCATGATGAAATTGTATATTGAATAAAGAGTTTTTAGATGGATGTTTTTTTAAACATTTTACCATGCACAGCTGCAGAACATTTACATATTAGTGTATCATCTGTGGAAGATTGGATCTATTTGTGTGGTCGGACACCCAATTTGACACATCTTTGCATCTCTCAGGCAGCTCCCGATGACTATGAACCCAATGTCCATGTTATTATGACGCTCATTCCTAGTCCTGTGTTTTTAACTCGAGTGTACATCACTTTAGACGGCTATCAAACAGATATTAATTCTATTGAATGGCTAATCGAGGGATGTCAATTATCTCTACAACAATTCAAAGTCTTTTCCTATAATTTTAATCGAGCCGATGGACAACGCTTAGAGACATTACTTCGATCTTGTCGACAGCTCAAGAAACTCTAATTTCTATTTGAATATAACGAGGAGAATGTTGACATTATCGAATTATTGCGTCAGTTCCAAAGTGTGTAGTGGTTCGACGATTATTGGCCACCAGTACTCGTTCAACGCAATGATAGTGGTCACATAGTCATCGCCTCGATGCCTTATTCTTCCAAACGCTGTATCTCGTTGTCGACTGATTTGAAGATGTGGCTACTTAACAAAGGTCAACTTGATTCATCGGTTATTCAATTCACTAAAGTAATATCAATTGTTTTCTGCAACAATAATCGACAAAATGTTACTCTCGAGTTTTTTGCATTTTATCGGTCGCATCTTTCAATCACGTTGTCAACAGGTAGAATTCAAATTCTGGATCTTTTCTTCTCCACATACACTTTACGAACAGGTCAGTTTCTATTTTTTACAAGATCATTCGTGAGAATCAGTGAAGAAATTTCATGTCATTCTATATAACGCTTTGATACTTTGCAGATGATCAAAACAACACAAAGCATTCCAGTATTGCCTCATGTGACAAGTTTCGATATGTGGCATTCTGATTATGATTTACCAGATGGCATGTCACTCATTATATGGCTTCTATTAGCACCAAATGTTAGGAGTTTCTATCTAGGAAATAGGTTCAATGCACAAAAACTGCAATTAGGGAAAGAATTACTCGAATTGATCAAGATGGATGAGCGTCTGAAACCGATTATCAATCGTTTCAACTATGTGACCAGTTTTACATATGTCAACAAAACCGACGATACAGCAAAAATGGAGCTTTCTAATCTCTTTACCAAAATCTTTCCAAAAGCTATCATTTATTAATTGCAGTAGTTTGTGAATGCTACTGAATTTTAACATCGGTCCTTATCAGTGGCGTAATCAAAAATAGACTGTAAAATAGAAAATAATTTATAAAGAACAAAAACAGAATATTCTAGCCATGTTCGTATGAATCCAACGATGAATTTCTACTTTCGTGAAATGAACGATATTCTAGAAGATAGAAAATCAAAAGTGAATTCATAAGGGCTTTTCTAGACATTCGCATAGAATTTAGTGATTGGGGTATTTTCCTATAAGTGTCATTTTCGTTTTATAATCAAGGTTTCTTTTATTTATTTTACTTCATTTGTAAATATATAATGAACACAAAAAACGAAAAGTTGCAATTCGTTAAGAAAAAACAAACAGTTCAAAAGCTAATAAGAAAAGAAAAAAGAATTGAAATAATTTTAACAAGATATGAAAAATCTGCCCATAAAAATATATTGCCTCATATAATGACTAGCATAGATACCTTCAACAACACCTGCAACCACACTCATACCGACATTAATACGGACACTCACTAACACACTCTTGTTTAAACTGGCTGCCACAGCGCGTACAAATGTTGCGTTGTTTGTGTTTAGAGCGCTCGCGTCTAGGGTGGGCCTGAGTGTGGGGTGTGTAGGTAGGGGTGGACCAGAAATATTTGAAGAATGTCATAAAAATGATTTCTACGATAAAGTCCCAATTAAAAATGAATCAAATAAATTTGATAAAGATTACATTTGGAAAGTTTATACAGATTATGAACTTGTTAAACAATATTTAACTGATCAACATTAACAATTAATTGATAATATTAATCAAGCTGATATTATATTTATGAAAAAAGCAAATTCAAGATTTTCGTCATGAAATATTGCATAATACATTAATTAAACAATTTCCATTTGAAAATATATTAATAAATAAAGAATTATTAGTATTAACTGCTAGACGATGTAAATCTTTATATGGGAATGCCTTATTTATTTCTTTTTAATTTTTGAACAAGTTTAATCAGACATAAATTGTTGAAAAAAATAGAAGAAAAACATAATTATTTAATACTTTAGGAAAAATTAAGTTTTTAACAAAATGAAACTCTAGGGTCTGGGTATGGATGTTGATGTGGACGGAGATGAAAACATTACGCACACGCGCACCTACACCTACACCCTGTAGTCATTTTGAAATGAACTAATCTTTCTGGTAGTGGTACAATTTCAACAAGAAATCGTGAATGACTATGTCATAAAACTCATACGTGCTTACAGATTATTAGATTCTAGGTTTATCTAATTCGAAGTCGATAATAATTATTTTGTATTCAATAGGAAATATGTAGCATAGGCAAGTGATGGAAATCTTAGAAAAATCTTCTTAGATGATCGCAGTCGTTGAGGTTTTTCGAGAAACTTTAGTATATGGTATCTGGAGCGGGTTCAAAGCAGTTCACAAGAAGTAGGAACGTATATCATACCAACTCGAAAAATTCACAATTCCCCGCAATATTTACCAGAATAGAAGGAGAAAATTGGATAAAACTAAAAAAAAAAAGAAGTTATATGCGGCCAGGGGCGGAGCGCCGGCTCATATGTCTATTCACGAATGAAACGCCATTTTTTACAGACGAAAGTGATATTTTTTTTCTAAATTTTTATTCATATCTGCTTATAATGAATCTAATTTAAGCTTTATAATATGATCATAATAGAATCGATAAAATGATAGAAAGGACCTTTGTGTTTCATCCTAAGAGTGAACCGGAACATACGACATCGAACAACATCATTTTGTCTTTGAATATTTTTTGCAACGGAGTTTTCGATAGACTTTTAGTAAAATACAACAGTAATAAATTGAAGAAATACTGAAATGCTTTTACTTACGTAACAAGTAGGGTGTGAGTGAACAGAAGATCAACATCTGCACCCGTCCTCACACGTATACTCATCGACACCCTACACCCTCAAGAAGTAGATGCCTTTTTGGCAAAATTGAGACCGTGTCATCAAGAGCAAAAATAACATTTTTTCAAGTCGTTATTCACCAATATCAATAGAGTGACATAAGAAAAGTTAGCAGCGATTTTGAGTTTTTCGACCGGATATTCACTGGGTTACCTATGCTGGGTCTCTCATAAGATGTGTTGCATGTAGATTTTTACGTTCTATCGGAAAGCGGTCATCGGTTCAAGAATGGATTTTTTGGGAGGAGGTGGGATTTCGCAGCAGTTTTATAAGGATATCAGGTCATGTTCGGTATGAGAAAACATTCAATGCTGATATATTCGATAACTGACAATTCAACAAAGAATTTTAGAACTATATTGTAGTCTTTCAAGAAGTCAAGATAGTCGAGAACAAATGCTATTGACATGTTGTACTAAATAGTGACTGTACATTCGTATGTAGAATTTTGTAGTCTTTTTTGCAATGATGTTTTATGATCGTTTCATCACTCGAGCCTTTAAGCCATATTTGGGTCTCATCGGAATAGTAATCTGGGGTACGATTGTTTGATCGGGCTCGATTGAAAAATTGCATCGTTGTACGAACATTGCCAACATAACTTTGGCTTCAAGCAAGGCGAAATTTTGTCCAATACAATTACGTGGACCGGCAGCGAATGGTAAATAGCAGAACGGATGGGCAAGTTTCGGTTTGAGACCAGTCACTGGATCACGCATCCACCGCATATAATCAAATTCGAGTGGTCGAGGCCATAAGTCAGCACGTCGATGGAGCATGTAAGTCATAATTGCAACGGTTGTGCCGACAGGAATACGCACTTGACGGTGGCCATCGCTACCGATGATGTGCTCGCGAATACTTTTTCGTACGAACCAGGGTACCGGCGTGTAGAGACGAAGTGTTTCCTGTAAAATGGCTTCGCATACTTGTAGATTGTTGATGTGTTCATAACTGGGTATCATTCCATTTGGCAGCACCTGTTCAACTTCTTCACGACAAGCACGTAATACAGATTCGTTTGTCATCAAAACATACATGGCCCATGTCATAAGATTGGCGGTTGTTTCATGACCCGCTACCACAAAAGTCAACGCCTCGTCTTTCACTTCCTGATCACTAAACGGTTGTCCTTGATCATCCACAGCTGAGAGCAGCAAATCGAGAAGGTCGGCACCGGCACACAAACTAGCAGATCGACCTTTTCGTCGAGCAGCAATAATCTGTTCAACGAAATCGGACACTTTTCGGGAATTCTCATCCATAAGACGTTTGCGCCAGAAAGGCAATTGTGCTAGTAGAGGAATTTGACTGATCATACGCATTGTTCGGTATCTAATTGCCTCGAAAATTTCCGAGATTGATCGATATATAATCTCATTAGCATTAGGCATATTTTCCAGACCCGTACCAAAAGCACACGATATGATAATTGCCAGTGTCAATGAGCTGAATTCCTTCTGAAAATCAATAGATTTTTCGTCCGATGGCATTAGCAATTGATCAATCGCTTTAGATGTCTGATCAGCCATGATGGACACCATCGATTTCAGGTTCATAAAATGAAAAGCTGGATTGAGCATTTTTCGAGCCCGCTCATGATCTAATCCTTCTCTGACCAAAAGATTGCGTGTACCAGTTAATGATTTGAAGACAGTAAGAAATATTGTTGGTTTAAAATAGTCTTGTGCATGTGCTCTGCCAAGAACATCCGCAAGTAGGTCAGGTTCACTGATCATTATGCGTGGTAGAGGGCCCATAGAAAACATAAAATAATTTCCATGCTTCTGGAATAGTTCACTCAGATACTCAATAACCCTATCATTTTCTCGAGCACGTCGAATTTGTGGTAGTTGACCAATGATTGGTACGAACGGTTCGCCCGGTATGCCTTGATTACGAAGTTCATCGTATATTCTCTTCTCTGGACGAACTATATTCCAATAGATGATGAAGAATATAGAAACAACAATTGCTACAAATGTATAAACAATTATTAGAACAACCATCGTCTATGATGTAGTGTGCTGTGGTACTGTTAGGTGTCGAAGAAAGAAAGTAAAAAAATATGATTACAAGTTGTTTGTTATCTATTCTTGACGCAGAACAATACAACAATAAATCTTTTGATAGTGAAAATAAAAGGTATACGGCCTTGCTTTTGTGGACACGTGGATGGCTTGATGACTAAGCAGTGACATACTCTGCATTTGCTTTTCGATGAAATATTGTAGCAACATGGTCATCATTTAAGTCAAACGAGAACAATCACGCGATCTAGTGAGCACTGGAGATGAGTCAAGACAAACGCTTGAGTCCATTAGGGCCTATGCTTGTGAGATACTTCTTCCGCTGAAAGAAACATGAGAACCACTATTTCCAATTATTCCTCATTTATTCAATTAAGAAGACATTGCCAAGGACGAATCGAAAAATTCTGTAATTCGTCTCTACACGGTATAATGAGATTCGAACGTGGCTGGTTCTCACGAAAGTCTCTATTCACGACTCAATCGAGTACTACAAAAAAGACGGATCGCCTCGAGCTGAAATCGTGGTTTCGGAACCTCAAATTGCTTCTCACTCCTTTAATTAGGGTGTGGGTGGGTATGAAGTGTGGGCGTCGATGTTCTTTTCACTCCCACTCCGACTACCGCCAACACCCACACCCTTGTTACTGATCACTTCGATTGACGTCTGAACAATAAGCCAATAACAAATCATCGTTTGCTTAATATTATATACCTAAAATTGCTCACAACAAGTAACATTTAATTTTCAATTTTCATCATCAATGATCGATCATCAAAATACTCATCATGAAATAACTAAAGAATTACTTAATGATGGAATAATAACAGCATGGAATCGGATTATAACATTTATTTCATTTTCAGTTATACTAGCTGAATATCTTATACAAGAAAAACAACAAGAGCAGAATATGAGTTTAGTTATTTCATCTATTATTGATTGAACAAGAAATTTTATTGATAGAAATCTTCATACATGACTTGAAAGTCCTATTGCTGCGTAAATTATTTTATATATAATGGAATTTTCGTTTTAAATATATGTTTTAAGGTTGGATGTTTGAATACTTATGCTGTGGGGTTCGTGTCTTCTTCACATTGGACACCCACAACCTCAATTGTTACGAGTTACTAGATGAAAAATTCAAAAAGAATTTTTTCTTCTTTCTTAGTACTAGCATATATGGGAAGTGACAGACTAAAATAAAATTTGTTGTTATTAGAAACTCCAAAATTTACATGAGTTTTAGATTGTATGACTTTGTGAGACTATAGTAATAAACTTTTCTCAATAGAATTAGTTTATTAATTAATATGTGAGATGGACTGGTTTTTCACTGGTTCGATTTTTCGTGGTAACTTGCCGATTTGGTTAAGGGTTTTAACCGGTCGGTTCAGTTGAAAACTTCCTCTCGGTTCCAAGGATAGAAATCACGATGAAAATACAACATTCGATCCCAAAATTATGGTCACTATTAATACATTTATTTTATTCAAACTACAGACGCAGATAACAGAATTGGGCGCAAAAAAAACCTTGGTCGTGTGGACAATTTTTAAAATTCAAGTGACCATGAAAAATCTTTCTTAAAATTAGTCAATAGCTTAGTTATCCCTTTCCAGCTGGCTACCAGAAGAAAGGTAGCAAAAAAAATCTTTTCGTGCATTTTTGTTGCTCCTAGACCATGGAGATAGGAAAAATTTATTTTTCAGAACCAATAAATGCTTCGACATCTAATTGCTTGATGTATCCATTTGGATACATCCGGCCACTAGGGGACAAAAATTTTGAAAAACTCATTTTTTTTGCCTGTCAAAATTCAATATTTTCTGGTTTTGTTACATCGATACCTGTAGACGTAACCACAGTTTGTCCATGTTTTGCAGGCCAAAGCTTAAATATTTGTAGAATGTTCTGAAATTCTTCAGTACGGTGCAAAATTAGCTCAACTTTTCCAAAACTTTTCTGAACATTCAGGAATATTTCAGAGAGTTTCTAAACTTTTCGTAATAGTCTACTTCTGAATACTACAGAATGTTCAGAAAATCTCTAGAATGTTCCTGAATGTTCAGAAAAGTTTTGGAAAAGTTGAGCTAATTTTGCACCGTACTGAAGAATTTCAGAACATTCTACAAATATTTAAGCTTTGGCCTGCAAAACATGGACAAACTGTGGTTACGTCTACAGGTATCGATGTAACAAAACCAGAAAATATTGAATTTTGACAGGCAAAAAAAATGAGTTTTTCAAAATTTTTGTCCCCTAGTGGTCGGATGTATCCAAATGGATACATCCCCATTTTCTATCGTTCGGATTTTTTGAATAATCCGTCTTAGGAATGCAATAGACAGTAGGTCTATGAAGGAAAATTAACAACCAATTGCCTTGAAGCTAGATTATTTAGAGACACGAAAAAAGCATTATTTTTATACGGATGCTACTTTGAGGCATTGTGGGTGGAACCGGTCATTTTCTTGGTGAATGTTATTTTCTTTCTTCTAAACGCATGAATGTGTGTTGAAATGCGTTAACTTAATTATCAAATTATCAAAAAATTTGATATCATCACTGTAACTCAGTTCTTCGTAAAATATTGGCCTAATGTATCCATATGGATACATCCGACCGGAAAGGGTTATAACAATCGCAGCGAAACCAAAGTAATAGCCGCATTCCAATAGCCACCCTTGAAACCGTTACTTCTGCAGTGCCTATTACATTGATATTCGTCCTTATTCGTGGGCCCATTACAACAAAATCCTCGAGCACTCACCAAGTTGAGGTTAGATCTTTCAACGAATTCCTTATCATTAGACTCAGCGTCACTCACATCTGAAACAAAGCCCTTATTAAAAATATGTAAAATACATCACGCTTACCGCCAACACGCAAACATGCACTACTGTGTATGATTAAAGCCACGCCAACAATAAATACAAGGATGATGCGCCAATTCAAGTTCATGTTTACGATACCCATTGAATTGAGAGGCTAAAGTTTACGATGATGCGTAATGCATATTATTTTTTTTGCCATTACCTTTGCAAAAAATGTAGGGTCGAATCGAATATTCCATCACAGGATTCTGACATTAAAAATATGTATTCAGTTTTATATGTCAGTACGAAAGCAAATAATGAATAAAGTACATCAATTCTTGATAAAGAACAATATTTGAAATCTAGGCTAACTGATTCTATTATCTGACATTTAACAAAGTACTTATGCAGACGATAAGAAGAAGAAGGATGTCAATCTATGTAGATATTTTTTAGGTTGGAACGCATCTGAATCGTGTTTGATGCGCATCTGACACGCAAACAATGAATACGTTCAGATCAGGGATGTCCGTCGCATCTGGAAACCTGCCGCTGCTGCAATGCAGTGAACTACAGAAAAACTTGCTGTTGCCGCTATGGTTTGCCAGGAACTCTTTCAAAATCTCTTCCGTCACCGTACTAAATTAGCACAGTTGAATAGAACTGATCAAGAGTGTAGGTGTGAATAAACTTGCTTCTTTCATTCCAGTTCCACACCCATACCCTTCACCAAAAGAAAAAATAAGTGCACACGAATATATGCAAGATTTCATGGTCTATCCTTTTAATCGATTGTATTTGAAACATAATGAGATGGTAGGTTTATGAGCTTATCCGGCATTATCCTTTTACAAATTTTGATCAAATTCAAAATTAGACATCATTGATTGATTCGGGCATCTTTAATTTGAATGTCCAATGGAATTTTCGGACCAAATTGAACATAAAAGTATAGAAATCATTTCCGAATTCTTTTTATATTAAAGTGAATATCTTTACACAATCTAACTTCATAGATATCCACTTTATTTCTATATACTTTTCAAAATAAAATCAACGTCTCAGTCCAGACCAACATCAAATTGGGAGTTGTATTTCTTCAATTGGATATATAAAAATGAATTTTAGGTATACATCATCGAAATTTTATCTGAAGCCTTGTCACAGTATACCTTAGTATAAAAAAGTCATTGTATCATGATGTGCAGAAAGTTGAATTTTCTGGGAATTTGGGCTCATCAACACTCACAAAAGCATAAAGAAAGATTTTGTTCTATTGAGAAAGTTATGCCAACTTGTAGAATCATGCAGCTGCAAAAATACCTAGATATTAAAAATATAAATATATAATGTCTAGTATAAGATCGTACTTTGTAGTCCATTTTATCTTCCAATTGGCAGTAGTTATCCTTTTATGAATTGAAAAGCCGTCTGTTATGTGAAATAATGATTTCAAATAAGAATAGATCAAACTTACCCATTCCTGCAGATGTGAGTGTGGAAATGAGATGAAGGTACCAAATACATTCACACCCAAACGTACCCTCTTACTTGAAGACAAGAAAACACTTTGAATTAAGGCAACTCATACTAATTCCATTTTTATCGATCTTTCAATCGTAAAACAATTCAGTTAACAAAAGATATCGAATTAGCAGTGGGTGATCAAATGTATTTTCTAGCAATAAGACTAATTTCGCATTAGTTTATCTACTGATATGAACCACAATAATAATAATTATTCGTGTTCGCTTCATACATTGCGAAAGATGATTAATCATTGTCTTTGACAAGTAAAAAAAAATACATCAACACTTCCAACGTTGAATCAAAAGCACATACTTTCGAAGACGTATCTGCTCGTTCTTCAGAGAATCAAGTATATTTTTATGGAATTGACGATTTGGCTTTCTTCATAAATCTAATTTCTAGAATGAATCCAAATCAACTCTGTGGCATTAATATCAACAATAAATTATTCATAATGAGTTCGAAAGAAAGTCGCAGTGCTGAATGACACATTGAATACATCAAGCAAATTCCCATTTACTTTTTCTAGCTTATCAATCTGTTTCATTAGATATACAATCGACTAAGCCTGTTGAAACAAGACTTCTAAGCCAATCATTTGTAACTAAAAGTTTTAACAGTGATAGCAAAGAGACTTCTGATGCTATTTCAACAACAATAACAACACCAAAAAAAAAAGGATATAGAAACATTTATTATCGATTATTGAGTTAAGTTTGAACTTAATTGAATCAAGTGATGAATGTCGTCTAGCTTGTCAGTATTGTTTTTTTATCAAATCTGTTTGTGCTCATATCTACTTCATAGTCTTTCAGATTTAACACTGCATACCTATAAGATGTTTCATGTGATTCTAGCTTCAATTCAGATTAGAATAATTTTACATAGGTTCACTTTTACGGTAGTTTTCAAACCGGAGAAAATCAGTAATCTCTTGCTATGGAATTCTCCGAATAATAGCTTTCACATGATTGAGTTTTCAAACTTAATTTCAGTTCCTGTAACAATGTAATAAGTGTGATTTACATGAGAAAAAAATTAATTTTTTATTAATCTAAGAATAAATCAAAAAAAATGTATATGAAGTTTTTTTTCTGATCTATTTTTTTTTTGCTTATAATCTTCTTTATCTCTGAAAGAAAGTTAAACGAGTTGAAAAATATTTCCAAAGTAAATGCAACTTTTTCTGTGTTATATTTGGTTTTATTATCATTGTTTCATCCCATATCAACGAGTTGGGAAGATAATATATTCATGTCACCATTTTTCCGTCACTAAGGTAATATTCATATATCATGTACAAAATCAAACACTAGTAACTCTTGATAAAAAACTATACTTGTCGAAATTTTTTCAAAATGAAATTATTTTGGAAATTCTGAAATGTGTTTATCTTCAAAAAAAATTCTTCTTATAGTTGTATCATAAACAAACATATTCGTTAATGGAAAAATGAAATTAAACCAGAACAATTGATGACACAAAATAGGAATGGCATCTCGGTTAGAGTTTCCTCCGTAATGTATGCAATAACAAAGAAAAAGCATGTGCTGCTGCTTCAATATTGGTTAGTTTAATATGTAAACGTTCTCATAGTGTCATCAGATCTGTCATATTGATTAATGAAAATCCAAGAATAACAACTCATTTCATGGCATCGAAAAATAAAAATCCATTGAGTGATGGTGCAAAGCTTCCGGATGATGAAAAGTCTAGTATCCCTACAGAAGAGGATCAACAATATTCAGAAAGGTAAATGTGATACCGTTGATCTACTGAGCTTACTTGTTACCTTTCATATTAATAGAACTGGTTTAGCTGGTCCCATGAACTTGTTAGTTTGCATTGGCTTCATTATAATGTGTCATACAAACGCAACATCTGATGAACATTTTTCTGTTGATACTGATAAAATAGTAGATATGCTTTCAACAAACAACGCAGATATTGATGATGAAATAGATCAATTAGAAGAATTAGCTAAACGAAATCTTTTGAATTTTTATACGTGTATTATTAATCAAAATGAAAAAAGCTTTTACTATATGAATGCTACCTCAGTAGAAGAAAATCAAACATGGTCTCGTGCTTGTCTTGTATTTGACAAAAATTATCGAAGCTTTTATGTTTTCTATGTACGTGATAATAATCAGAAAAATCATACAATGTTCTCAATGAATGATAAACATATTTTAAAACTATTCGAAGATTCAGTGGAAGTTTATAAGTGGCCAGGTGATTTTGACACAATAAAGCAGATGTCTGATCAGGATATATCAATGAGTGATGAAGAAAAAATTCCAATTTCTCCAATCGACTGCAATATAGGTCTGGATAACACTTATATGTCATTTGTGTTAATAATAATAACCGTTTATTGACTATATATTTTCAGTTAATCGTAAAAACCAGTCAGAAACGATACTAAACGCTTCAGGTGTATGTAATTTACTCATTCAAAACATACAAAATCTCATCAATTATATTGGACCTCAACTTGATAGTTTGAATTTTTCGTCTATAACCTCAAGTAGAAAATGTGATCAGAGAAAATAAAGAATAATTTCTTTTCTTTAGAATATCAAATTCCTGATCATCACTTGATGTCATCAAAGACTGTTCGTGAAGTTCTGACTTTTCAGATGCAACAATTATTAGAAATTTCAGACTTGACGGCTGAAAGTTTTACAACTAATCGTAAGGCATCGACTTCGATAGAAAGTGCTGAAGCTAGAAATATTGTTTCAAATGAATGTAAGTAATCAATAAATTATTTGTCATTGATTATTAGCATTTATTTATTTAAATAGCAGCGAACAGTCATGAACAAGATATTTTGTCCAACGATCTAATCCTTACTCAATCATCATTACCAAATACAAAAAATAATTCCAAAGAAACAATTAGTCTATCTAAATTAGAATTAGTTAATCAACCAACACGATTTTGGCATCATCGTAATTTAGACGAATTACGTGATAATCGTTGTCCAGCAGTTCATGTTGAAGGGCATGGACAGCGCGCGTCTTTACAAGTGAAAGTAAATTAAAAATAATTTTTAAATAATTTTTCTGTTTATTCATTCCAGCTTCCAGAGAATATCAGAGAATATGAAGAAGAAATGTATATTGGTGCTCATGCAGTAACATATGACAAAAAAGAGCATGATCAAAAATTCGTTGTACCTATCAATACATCCATCAAGGAAGGATACAACTTAAAAACTAACGATCTCAATTGTTTGACAGTCATCAACGATGAAAAAAATCATGTTGAATTTGATCTAAAAACAAGAGGTGTCTTTTTAAAGATTTATCCAAATGAGTCTCACAAAGAGTTAGAAGCTTTTAGTTTTAATTTTTAATTACTTTAAACTTCATATCTATTTATTATAGATGGACTTTTAAGATGGTTAATTTATATCAAGATAATATTATCACCAAAACATTAATCAAAAATAAAAAGCTCAAATGGTGCAGATTAATGTTTGCTATTTACGTTAAATTACATACCGGTCGATTCGAATGTGTTTCTTCACCAATATTTTCAGATCTTATTAAAGAAAGTATAATAATTGAAAATTTATTTTGCATATACTATTTTCAATATTTTCGATGATAGCCTATGGTGCTCAATCAGTTAAAATTGATAGGGTTTTTCCAAACAAAATTTGCAAAAGAGGTGGTCAAATGATCTTTGTTCCACTGCAAACAGCAGAGGAAAAGCAAAGTATGCTATTTTTTTTTTAACTAGAAATTCTATTTCTCCTTTGCTATAGACTTAGATATAAAATGCAATGATAAAAAACTTAATGATAGTGATTTTCAAATTGCTGAAACAATTTTATCATTCGAATCACCTGTATGTATGCAAGGCAGTGAGAATCTTCACGTAATTATACATATTAAAAATACTGAAGATCGGATTGATTTTACATTGCCATATCATCGTCATAGTATTATTCGTTTTTTGTTTTATTTAGATATGAAAAATAAAAATTCATTTTTATTTATAGACGATCATCCTGATCCATGTGGAATGGTTAATGAAGATTAAATTCTATATATATTTACATACGAACAAATGTTCCAAAAAAAAACATACATGATCTTCTTTTATTTTGATCTTCCTATTTTAATTTGTTCTTTTTTTCATTTTATAAAAATCTGTCAATATCTATTCTTCATCTCGTATGTGAGATAATTAGCGCATATATTTACATAAAATAATTACTTCTCATTGTTCATAGATTTTGTACCGGTCGATTATTCATTGTCATTAGTAATTGAGAAAAAAAAATATAAGTTCTAATTTTACGTGTGCTGGTGGTATTCTTTGTAAATATCTCAAATAAAGCATAAGTACAACAATGATGAATTTTTCAATAAAAATTTTTTGGAATTCACGTCTAATTCTTGATTATTAATCGATACTGATGATAAAGATTGTTTGTATTAACATCGAAGTATCTTCATTATCACTGAGCTACGTATCCTATATTATAGAACTATTCATAAGCATAGCGCATCCTAGGATAGTGAAAAATCAGATTTTCATCGATTTGAACTTTTTCAATCGCTAGATTTTGATTTATGTAGTTTATAGGTGAAAAATATGGCGATAGCTGGAATATGAAATAAATGGTACATACTTTACAAAGAGTTTTTTCTATATTCTCAGTCTATACAACCGAATTTCTTTAGGTGCTAGCAACACGAAATACTATATATGGTTTGATAGAGCTCGATATGCTGTTCAACAAAATGGAAAAAAAGTTTTACTTTAGTTTTACGGTGCTCGCAGTTTAACAAAAAAAAGACAATTGATTCAAAAACAAATCAATCTATTCATTTTTTGCATGAACTAACCATAAAAATTAAAAACAAAAAAAAAAAGTTCATTATCGATCAATAGTCTATGCAGAAGAAAAAAAGAAGTTGTTGCTTATTCATTTCGACAATCAGATGATCTCAATAAAAGAAAAAGAATATTTATTTTTATGTAATCACCAAAAGTGACATGATTTTGTTAACATTGGAAACTTATTCAATTAACTCATCTCCTTTCCTCAAATGAATAGCAATATAGTTAGATAAATGATCATTCTCACGATTATTTTCGACAAGAAATCGATAATTCCATTTTTAACTAACAATTAAAAATTGTCGTTTTATTTCTATACTCTCGACAAATATGAGCAACAATTAATTAGTTTCACTACCGAATCCGGTTCCTATCCTACGAACGTTAATCATGGTTTATTGAAGAGAATATCGAGTTAACATAATCTTATATCAATATCGAATCTTGTTCGTTTTTACTGTCAGATATTTTGTTTCATATTATTCGCTTCATCAATCCTCTACATAGTAATGCACTAAATATTTAGATATTTAATCAAATATCAATATACAATTTGCTATTTTCGATTTAAAGATCAATAATTGAACAATGTTTTCCTATTAAGACATTAAATTTACTTTCATCTTTAAGTAGATTTCTCTCGATAGTGTCTATTTTTACAGAGCATATTATAGAAGTTTATTTGAATTTGCATGAGAATGTTTCATGACTATTTTGCTTTTCTCTATTGCAATCAACATGAAGCAATCTATATTTGCTTTCATCAGTTATACACATTAGTCATACGTAGATAAAAATGGTGCAATAACAGTTATATTTAATTTGCTTTCTTTGTTGGTCATTTATGAAATAATTTTAGTTGCTTTGAATTTATTTTATTAAAATTCAAAAATTTAATAAGAAATGAGTTTAGAATTATTATCAAATGAATTATTACTAGATATATTTGAATATATTCATTCAGTTGAACTTATTCGATCTTTCTACAGTCTCAATAAACATTTTAACAATTTGATCTTGATTCATATTGAAACTTTTGGTCTTGATTTTCGATCAACATCGAAACAAGATTTTGATATTGTTTCTCAATTATATCTTCAATCAATTAAACATCGAATTAATTCACTTAGACTTTCAACTGATGACGATGAAACTCCTGAACAAATTCATTTATTTCATTCTTATGGATGGAATTTCAATAAATTTCCATATCTTCGATCTCTCTCATTACATCGTATTCGTTTTGATAAGACAACAAATAATACTTTATCAAAATGTTTTCATTTAACTAACTTAACATTAACTAAATGCTGTTTTCCATACACACAAGCTGATATTCGTCATTTTATGAATGATATTTGGAATTTACCTAAACTGAAATATTTTTATTTGGATACTTATACAAAATATGACGTTAGTTTTCCAGCACTAACTAATTCTTCATCTTCTATCGAACATTTATCTATCAGTGGTTTTTGTAATCTTGATCGTCTATTAGTTCGTCTATATCATAATACACCTTATCTTCGATATTTGACTGTAAATTTAGATTGTATTAAAAAAAAGTTGCAAGTATCAATTCGATCAATAAATGAATTAAATTTATCTTTCAGTCATGACCGAAAGAATATAATAGAAGATTTTTTACAACATGTTCCTAATTTACATCGATTGAAAATTGAAATAGATTCTATTGAAATTGATGGATATGTATGGGAAAAGATCATTAGAAATTATTTACCAAAACTTGAAAAATTTCAATTAAAAATGAAAATTACGGTTGAAAATCAAAACAACAATCAAATTTTATTGAATTCATTTCGAACTCGATTTTGGCTTGAAGAACATCAATGGTTTGTTGAATATCATTTCAATACAAATGATTGCAATCGATTCGCTTATATTTATACATTACCTTACAGTTTTACTGATTTCAATATTTTTTTGCCAAATCGATTTGAATCAACATGTTCTAATGATAAACATTATTGTCCATATGATATTAACTTTCATAATATAAATCATCTTTCAATAAAACTTCCTGCTTGTTTGCATATTTTATTGCTTATTGAGCGATGCCATCGATTAACTTCATTAGAAATATCAAGATCGGAAAATATGTCGAATGAAGATACTCAATTAGAAATTCAAACTTTACTAGATCGTACACATTATCTTCATTCATTTAAATTTAATTCATATTCAAAATTTGATTATTTTTATGAGAATGAACCATCCATGAATGAAAAAGTAATACCAATTGTAATGAGAAGTCCACCTATTCGACGAGTTAATCTACTTGGTTGTGATACGTGGTTTACTGGTGAACAACTTATTCAATTAAGTCGTTCGCCACTTATGACTCATTGTCAAACACTTCTTATCAAAGTTAAAAAACGAAAAACTATACGTACTATTATCAATATAATGCCTAATCTTCGAGCATTAGTTGTTCGATGTCAACAAGATCATTTTAAATTCTATTATTCATCAACACAAGATTCACTTCTTCATTGGTTAAAAGGCAACTTATCATCAATGTGTTTTATTAAACGAAATCTTCGTTTCATTCATCAAATTCAAATATGGATTCATCGATAAATATATAAACTACAAAGAATAGAAAGACATTTAGCAATATTTCATAATAAGAGAGAGTTCGATGTGAAAGCAAATTGAAAATCTTTATCAACATAATTTTTCTAATAAATTCTATATCGAATAATTTTCAATTAAGTCAATTAGAAGTTGATTCTTGTAAAACATATTTATTTGGATATTTATGTGATTAAGTTACACGAGATAGAAAGAATTCAATTAAACTGTCTAATGAATTAAAGTGTGGATGGTTGGCATTGTAGGCTGGTAGATGATTGTAGATACAGAGAAGATCTACATCGACAAATACACCCGTACTGTACAGTATAGATATCTCGAGCGTTTATCTGACTTGATTTTGTCTTGCGTACAGAAGACCTTTCATCATCGATACGGCTCTTTTCAGTTCGATCATAGAGTAAGTTAGTACCGAGAATGTTCTAATGAATTACCTTCACGGGCGAGTACAGATCTATTGGCAAAAATTGATATGTTGGAAACTTGCTCGCTGGACCCATAAATGTTAATTTGTGGAGATCGATTAAATTGATAGAAAGTAGGTTTGGATGCACGTTTTCTATTGACTCAACTACACTGACGCTTACATCGACATCTATCCTACTCGTCCTTGCCAAATTTCTCGATTCTAGCGTTCAATTATTGAAATATAATACCATGTAGCAGCTATGTAGGCTTATTTTTTAGATTTATTGCGGTTTTTCAATAAGTTCCTATTTCCTAAATACTTTAAGATGAATCTCACACAACTCGTTACTATAAATATGAATGCCTGTAGGTTGTGGGTGTACTGAAATATTAATACAGTTAATAGATTCTAATAAATCTTCAATATATAAATAAATTCTATAGTAAAATAAATTCTGAAAAGGTCACAGTAGTGGCTTCTATTGTTGGAATGTAATGTTGGAAAAATCTGTCGGTGTTTCATCGTAAATAGATGTCCTTCTTTGCAAATCGTCGAAAAACAACCGAACTGTTCTTTCATCTCCGTTTGAAGTAATTCTTCTGCGCGAAATAATTGTAACCTAAGCATTTTGTTGGTGTGTTTCTGTTAAGTGAACTGCGTTATGTTTCACTTATTTTTGTACTACCTCGATCATTCCGTTAATGGACATGTGTTTTTTTTTTCTATGTAGACGAGCAACATGAGTGAAAAGAAAGAAAGGTAAATATTGCTTGATAAAAACCTGGTTTGTCTGTGAAGAGTAGAGAATAAAAAAAATGAGTACTATTTAATCGCGTTGTCACCGTCAACACGGTCTTGGCGAAAGAGGCAAAAAAAGAACGCAAAAAAAATCTATTTTCTTTTCACCAACTCACTAAACACATTTTATGTTGCACATCGCCGAAAAAAGACTCAGACAATGTGTAATTTCATTTTTTTTTGTTTTTTTTTGCTGTAGACTAACTAATTGTATACAAGAGACAATGTCAGGCAGCATCGATGCTCTCTTGCCTTCTTGTGCAACAGAATCAACAGTGGGTATGGGAAAAGTTGAAAACAAAGAAGCACCTTCTCTCGACGAAGGGCCAAAAGGCTCAGCTAATGCAGATAATCTAACTCAAAAAGCTTCGGCAAACAACAACAATATTGGTGAACAAGCCACGGCGGCTATACACGGGTGTCAAAACTCAGCTATTACAGTACCTGCTACTTTGTCTGATGCAGCCGAAAATCAACTGATCGAAACAGGAAATAATCCACTTGAACAAAACAGAAAAGCGAGTGACATGCAGGATTCGCCAGATGCTTCGAAAACGTTGACTGGGGTCCAAAATATCAGCACTAATCAATTAGCAACAGGCAACGACCCAAATGGCATGCAGAGTTTGGTAAATGTTCCGACAACGTTAGCTACGGTTCAGGATATGGATGTTGATCAAAGGAAAGAAAACGAAAAAGCGAGTGGCATGCAGGATTCGCTGGAGGTCTCGAAAACCTCAACTGGGGTTCAGAACGCCAGCACTAATCAATTGGAAGCATGCAAAGACCCGAATGACATGCAGACTTTAGTCAATGTTTCGACAGCGGCGACTACAATGCAGAATATGGACGTTGATCAAAGGGAAGAAAACGAAAAAGCGAGTGACATACAGAATTCGCTAGATGCTTCGAAAACGTTGACTGGGGTTCAGAATATCAGTACTAATCAATTAGCAACAGGCAACGACCCAAATGGCATGCAGGGTTTGGTAAATGTTCCGACAACGTTAGCTAGGGTTCAGGATATGGACGTTGATCAAAGGGAAGAAAACGAAAAAGCGAGTGGCATACAGAATTCGTCAGATGCTTCGAAAACGTTGACTGGGGTTCAGAATATCAGTACTAATCAATTAGCAACAGACAACGACCCAAATGGCATGCAGGGTTTGGTAAATGTTCCGACAGTGTCGACTACAGTACAGAATATGGACGTTGATCAAAGGGAAGAAAACGAAAAAGCGGGTGACATGCAGATGTCGCTAGATGCTTCGAAAACGTTGACTGTGGTTCAGAATGCCAGCACTAATCAACTGGAAGAAGGCAAAGAACCGAATAACACACAAATTCCGTTAGATATCCAGAAGACATCAACTGTAATGGAAACTGGTGAGTCCACCACCGGTAATTACTTGTTTCTTCTCTTTATCAAAATCGATCGCTTTTTCTGATAACGGATAGTTGCACCTATTCTGACGATGTCTTGACTATTTATTTTAGTGATAAATAAATCATCCCTAATGGATTCCAGATGTCAATTTCGAGCAGGTAAATTTAAAAGATCTTATTTTGCAGAAATTTTTCAATACGATGTTCAGAACATTAATTCACTCTAAAGAAATATCTATTTTTAGAGCAATCTTGGGTTGATCTCAAGTTTCATCCAGGTCAGATATCGATCAAGAAGCCTGATGAGCTTGCGAAGGAAATGATAGATCCTTCAATTGATATCGACACTAACATACTGAATCGCATCAAGGGATCAATGTTTGGTATGGCTTTGGGTGATGCTCTCGGTGCTCACGTAGAATTTAGGCCGCGAGGGTTTCTAGTTGCAAATCCAGTGACGGACATGCAAGGAGGAGGAACATGGGGCCTAGTCAAAGGGCAGGTAAATCATTTTCTCTATTCTTGAACTTGTTTATCAGCCAGGAATCATTTCTACTGATTGTCATTTTAATTATAAAGACATATGAAGTATAAATATAGCTTAACGCTGAATATCATTTTCATAAAATGATGCAACAATTAGTTGTCTCAAGATACTAGGACCAATAGTTAATTGTCGAACAGCTCTGCAGCACAAGCAGCTATCAACTTCCGACTTTCTCTTAGATAAAACTATTCTAAGACCTTTGCTTATATCCAATTCATTAGGTTGAGAGTATAAGTAGCATTTTACCTTCACTTTATTAATTACTAGTAAATAGTAAGTACTATGTGTACTTACTGATTTACCGTATTTACTTAGCAAAACAATAGAGTATATGTACCATCCCTAGTTGAAAAAGGTTCGTTATAAATGATTTGAAGAAAAAGTCTTTTTTTTACCCATTGTTTTTGTAGTTTGCACTCACAATACGCTCAAAGTATATTTTTTGAAAGGGAATACGAAAGAGATATAAATTTTATTTCGTATTCGGCGTTCTTCGAGTTTCGTTTTCATATAATGTGAATTTCGATGACTTGAATACTCTACAAACAAGGTTGTTCACACAATCCGGGTGGGATTAAAATGTGACATAGGATGTAACCATTCAGCAATACGAGAAAGACGTAGTTCATATATTATAACAGGACTTTATTGATATACGATCGTTGATTGTTTATCAACAACGTCTGCCATGTCTCTAGAGGCGAGTAGGCTCGAAATGCATACTCCTCTAGTTCAATATTCCTACTTGATCGTCTAACATGAAAATAGAGAAATAATGATATTGGCTTCAAATCGCTAAAAGAAAAATCTGGAACGATCATTTTTTAGCAATTAGTCCATGACCACATAGGCAATAGTTGAAATCATTAATGAATACTCATATCGGACTGTGTCGACTGACATGGAAAATTTCTTTAGTAGAGATATCTTGATGAAAAGTTAGAGAATAACATAAGAGAGAAAGAAAAGAAAACTTTCACATCTTCATTCAGAGTTCATTTTCAAGGAAATGAAAATGAGGATCACTTTTTCTCACTTTGTCATAATTTCCGTGTTGTTTTTCATATTTCATCACATTTAACGACTAATTTTCCTGCTCTTAAAATAGGTGTACTCTTTAGGAGACACTTGATCCAATTAAATAACTGATTAAGGCGAGAAAAAAAAAGAAAGTAAATATTTTCGAGTCTCAAAAAGTTTTTGTATCAGCAATACATGTTAAATAACATCTGAAATAACTGTGATAAAGATATAAATAAAGGCTAAAATCTGTTTTTCTAATCATTTTTTTTGTAGGAATTCTTTTCGCTCATGGAACATTTCTCGATTTCAGTGATGTATCAAATAACAATAAGAAATTATGAGAAATTTTTTCTAGAAAATTCGTTTTTCTCCTATACTTTTTGTTTTTTTACTGATTTTGGCCAACGTTAGAAAGTGTTCGTCATTATCCGAATGTTTTTTTGTGACATGCACAGAATTCTTATTCCGATTGGTTACTGAAAAGCTTGAAAAGCATGAGTTTCGAAAATTAAATCTATAAAGAATAATTGATTTGCCACTTCCTTGATTCCATTTTCTCACGAAAACCCGCATCAGCTGAAAGTCTATTGTTCGAGAATGATATTCTAATGTAATGAACTATTTCAGTTTACTGACGACACTTCGATGGCTCTTTGCCTGGCTAATTCATTGTTGGCTCGTCATGGCTTTAACTCCTACGACCAGCTAGTTCGCTACAAATGGTGGTATAGACATGGCTATATGTCTTCTACAGGAGACTGTTTCGATATTGGTACGGCCACCAGGCACTCTATAAGTGAATTCGAATGTCGCCAAAAACAATTCGCTCAACGTCATCACATTCCTTATGAGCAACTAGATCATCTTTCAGATTCTAGCCTAATTGAAGAATTCAATGTATTCTGTAGTGAAGAAGGCGTTGCGGGTAACGGAGCTCTGATGCGTCTAGCGCCTTTGCCTCTCTTTTTCTATAAGTATCNCAAACCCAGTCGTAGATATCGATTCAAACTTTCGACAAAAATCATTGGAAATCTTGTTATGTGTCTTATTGCATTAACATGTATATTTTCTATGTATGCTGATGCTATTCTCGTACCGGGTCTCAATCGTTCATGGCTTGTAGCCTATCAAACACTTTCACATACATGTTGGTCATTAGTGATCGGCTGGCTTATTTTTCTATGTAGTACAAATCAAGGTGGAATTATAAATACAATTCTATCATGGTCTATTTGGCACCACTGGCTAGATTAACTTATGGCACCTATCTTATTCATACAACCGTGATCAATGTCATTGTATTTAATCGAACTGTACCATTCTATTTTCAATCGTCTACTATGATAAATGATTTTATAGCACAATTTTTTTCAACTTATCTTTGTGCTATAATAATTGTTGCCATTTTTGAAACACTATTCATTGTTCTTGAAAAGAAATTATTCAAATAGAACTTTTAACATATTTTTATGTTGGATAATTATTCACTTGAAATATGTATGTAGCAAGCTTCTGGTATAAGACATGGAAAATAAAATGTTACTGTTAAGACAGATGACCTGTGAGCAAACGTTAACTATGGCTGTAATTATTATAGTGGGCTTACCTAGCGTACGACAAAAGCTCTCTTTTTGTTTTCTTCTTTTATCGTTCTTGTAGAATGATTTGTGAAGAAAAATGTTGGTACATTTCCGATACGAGTCGTGGTCTTGGGTACACACTTATTAACATAAAATATTGATCTTGTCAACTCGTTGAATGCTTACGAAATTATAGACTATATATGTGTTTTAATGATCTTTGTGCTGCAAAATTACAAATAAATTGTAAGTTTCCGCTTTTCCAAAAGAACAGAGTTCCTTATGAAATTATTTCTACCCACTAGGACGCAAAACAGTACATTCACAAAGTGTTCTTTGCTAGAGACCTGCTTATCTTTCTATGGGTAAACGACTATTGTTTACATACAAAAACAAATATTCTATCGAGTTCTTACGAAGAAAATGTATCATAAGCCCCTTTTAGAAGCAATTGAGAAGTTTGAAACTTTAAAATAGACCCAAGTCTAACAACGCTAGTCGAATCCTATAGGATAAAGATAATTCCGATGGAATTCTGCCGAATTTTATCAAATTCCGACGAAACTCGACCAAGTTGAGACCAGAATCCGATAATGAAAACGTTCATTGTGAATATCTCAACATATTGATGCAAATACTATTTGTTTATTAAAAGTTCAGTTCATATTCACGAATTATTTCTAGGTGGTTCATTTATGGAATAGTTCAGCGTGCTTTACTCTTTTAAATGAGACTATTTAGCATTAGATCCACATTTGTTTTGACTAGCTTATTGTTAAAATACAGAAGTATAGCAAGACAGTTATGAAAATATAGTGCAATACTGTGCTTCAAAAGCCATTACAATCTTTTCCAGATGAAGTGCATTTAGCATCAATCGATTCTCCGTCTCAATCTGTACTAATATGAAAAATGATTTTCGAAAACCAGAAAATGAGCTGATTTATTCTCTTGTGAATTGTCGTTTATTAACTTTATTAGTTTCTCTTTCTACATATGCATCTAGGTAAATGTATTTTTAATATAAAACTAAAATAAATCGAGCGAACCGAATTACTTAGTCAACTATGCAATACAAGAAAGCAGATCATGAATGAACCTGTAAAAAAAGAAAAGAAAATGAATGAATGTTTTAAAGAGAGAGAAAGCAAAAATATTACTTATGTTTTTGCCTTTCATGTCTTTATTAAAAGAAAAAGAATGAAGAAGAAAATAATGTAAATATATAAATCGTAGATTGAACAATGTGTAGAACATCTGATAAACAATGAACAGACAACAAAAATAAGATTTCACTAAGTCTCAATTTATCAAATTTAAATTACTAACTCTTGAAAAAGAATAAAATTATTTTCTTTCTCTTTCATTAGGTTTTGAAATGTTAGAAGAAAATACAAAACTAACTCAATTCTTTCGCAATAAGAAGTGCTAAAGTATAATATTTTGATAAATATGGAATTTTCTTATTAAAAAACTATTTCTTAAACATTATAAAATGACAAACCTGTGTTTTTAATCGTTTTGATCGAATTCCTTAAAGATAAACTGTGAAAAACTTCGTCCATAGACACCTATACCACATGTTAAAATGTTTGATAGCTTTAAGAAAACCGAATTTAAAAGCGGGTATTCTCTGCCTGGGCGAAGACTAAAAGAATTGTATGACTTTGTTATCATCTCTTGACATTTCGCATTGAATTTGATATTTTTTTACAGTATGAGCTTGAAGTGTTCGTTTTAGTTCTGCTTCTAAACCCAAGTTAAATAGTCAAGTCAGCCTGGATAACCTGACAAAAATGTTTGTGTTCCAATATAATGGCATATTTTCTTTTCCCAGCATATTTGTTTATGCTTTATTACGTTCTTTTTCGTCAGCGTGAATGTTTTTAACTAATCATATAAGACATTTCAAGGTCTTTTGCTCTGTTCTGATTAATAACCTTTTTCTGGATTATTTCACCTTAGATTGTCATCGACTGAAAAAAAGCAGTTACTTTCAGTGATTATTCTAACTTGCTTATTTATTCTCTCAAAGTATAGAGACGCTTATGTTGGTAGCACTTGGTTGACGAATGAACAAAAAAAAACTTAGAACGATGAGAGAATAACAAAGGACAAGATCGATCTGTATGCTTAATTTTGACGCCCAATGATTGAACACTGGTAGATGGTGAGTATCTCCTATTTTCTGTTTAAACAAAGTATGATTCACTACATTGTCGTTTGTTGGGATGTTTAAAAAGAGTTATTCACGTAAAGATGCGTTCGTTTTTTATTCGAGTTTTGATATTAATTTGATAGATTTCAAAAAAAAATAACTCGAATTTCTGCACACAATGAAGAAACATATTACACTAGACACGGTAAGAGGCTTTACAGGAATAATTGCTAACTCAGATACAATGAGATACTTGTTTAGTAGTTTTCCTTATTACCATTGAATATTTAAAATTTTCAATTTAAACTCATTCGATTGAAAATTTCATTGTATACAGGACTAGCTACTTGCAAGTTTAATAGGATCATTCTCATTTACGCAGCGCTTCATTCAAAATAGAAACGGTTTATTAAATTCTTTGTAATGCTTGCTTAGCAATGACTTTCCGACAGTTCTTACTGTTTTTTTTCTGAATAGAAATAGAACAAAAAATGAGAGTGATTTCTTTTTTTTTTTGTTGCTATAAGATTCTTGCTCATAATTCCAATGAAAACCAAAAACTAATAAAAAGAAAATAGAGCTTTTCCAATTTTCCTAAATTGTGTACATTTAGTTCATGAAAATGAAACATATGTATTCGGTTTTTAATATGTCGTTCTGTAAATCATCACGATTATTTATGATCAAAATATTGCTCAAAAACAAAAAGAAACAAAATACAAGTACAAATTCAGATATATGGTTTTTTTTAGAGAATGCAATCCTCTGTTGAATCAATTTAGTTGTAAAAATTTTAAACATTTTATGTTAGCGAAGAAAACTATTTACACGAATATCCTGTTTTATCTTACTCATTTATTAAGAAAAGATTCTCAGTATTTGATATTGATTATAGAGTAAGTGACATAATAATCATCAATTGCTTCATGACATAAATTCATGTTTTTCAGAAAGACATCTAACTACGGATTACATTTAGAGATTTACAACATCTGTTTGATATATCAGACTACTTGTGGATTATTTTTTGGATTTTTTTCAAATTATGGAAACGGAAGGAGACACCGTGACGCAAGTCATTGCAAATCATCCAATGAATCCAAAGCTGACAGATGAATCAATTTATCGACGACGAATTTCAATTGTTCGAGATTTCGCCTTGAATACAACAACTCATGGTATTCCAGGCATTGCTCGAAGTCGAAGTATACAAAATCGTCTCTTCTGGTCACTGGCATTTATGACATTCGCTGGTGCTATGTTATATTTTATTATTCAAGCGATTCGTACCTATTTCGATTATCCAACACAAACAACAGTGAGTATTACTAGTGAACGCATACAATTCTTTCCAGCATTGACTATTTGTAATGCTGGTGGAATTCGTGCCGATGCAATATTCATGCCATTTTCCAATTATGTTGGGAATTTCAATAGTACGACTACAAGCGATTATCTACCAGTATTCAATCAAGCAGATTTTATCAGGTTATTTTTCCCAAAACTGATCAATGAAAATGGATCAATAGATCAATATGTGTTTACTTTGAATTCGATGCTGATAGGCTGCGAATATGCTGGAACTCCATGTTCAGTCAAAGATTTCATTGAATTCGATTCTTTTGAATATGGACGTTGCTATACATTTAATGCTAAAACGAAAAATGGTAGTGTGCGTCCCAACTATGATATAGACAGTACTGGCAAATTGATATTACGTCTCTATCTTTATGCTCATCAATATGTACCTTATGGTGTCGAAGGTAGGGTGAAGTAGTGGGGTGAATCCATTTTGTTTATAACATTTGTTTTAAAGAAATCTAGAATTCTTGTTTTAGTGTACTATTTCATATGAAGAAAGCGTAAACTAAGTATACAAGACTAATATATTGGATCGTGTCTTACATGTTTTCGAATTTGATCAAACGATGAGCTACATGCATACGAAATTTTCTCTGGAGAAAAATAGTTGTTCACTCAAAACTACGCGAAACTTACATCAATTATGTTTTGCTCTCAGTTTTGGACAACTTCTTAAAATTGATAGTTCAAGATCCCGATTGTAGGTGTATTCAATTACTTTTTCAATCTTTGGACTAGTGATTATGTATATTGAGGTGAACAGAACAACTTTTCACATTTCTAAAACAATGATGAACTTACGAGAAAAACACACATTTTTCTAAAAGCTATATATAGATTTCAATAAGTCATTCAGTATGTAAAATGCTATTGAATAGTTTTATATATGTTTACATTTAGGTGTAGCCATGATGGCCATGGTTCATGACAATACACAATTACCTCTTATTGAAAAAGCAGGCATGGCCTTAGCACCAGGTTTTCAACATCGATTGGTCTATACAAAAAGAGATATATTTTTTTTACCGCCACCTTATTCAACATGTACGAACGACATTCCTCCTGTTATGAAATTTATGTTCGAAAAATATGAAGGAGCCGAGTATGCTTATTCAGAAGATCTTTGCCATATCCTTTGTGCACAAGCGTATATGTAGGTGTTCATTATTTCTGACATGGATAATGATAAACGATAAGTTCTTTACATTTTTTATCTTTGTAGTTATGAGCAATGTAATTGTGTTAATCCTGCACAATGGAATGCTCGTTCAATACTTTTACCTGGAACAAACGAAATTATTATGGCACCATTGTGCAACACATCCAACATTTGTTTTAAACAAGCTATACATGACTTTGATTTGACACATTCGATTCGTGATCGATATTGCTTCAATTGTCTACAACAATGTTCCATTACGAATTTTGCTGTAAAATCGTCGTTATCGATTGCACCACCGGAATGGCTCATACCTGATATTAGAGCATTCGTTGAAAATTCATCAGTTCCGTTGCCATTGGATTGGTCGAATCGTTGGTCTGAGTATATTCATTCAAGTTATCTGTCGCTGGAACTTTTAGCTGAATCGAGTTTGATTGAAACTTATACACAAACGCCAACATTGAAACTCGTCGATCTTATTTCGAATGTTGGTGGACAAACAGGTCTTTGGATTGGAATTAGTTTTCTTTCTTTAATGGAATTGATCGAAATGCTCTATCGGCTGATCAGATTCCAAATTCATCTTTCTCGATCAGTTGCTATTGAAGATGAAAACCAGAATAAACCCAAACAATAGATACTTCTACCATCAATATTGTTAAACAGATTGTGTTTTATTTCTGTTATTTACTGTCGTAATGATACTATTTTCATTAATCAAACGAACTGATAATGAGTTATAAACAAGAATGCTCTGCTGATAGGGACAAATCTAATCCAAATGTGTCAGTGTCTTTCACGCACAATTGATACTATCACTTAGAAATTTAAAATAAGCAAATTTTTGAATTAAGACCAAAATATGTTGAGATATTGATGTTTTTCAAATAAAATCAGAAATATTTGGTCGACTTTGTTGGAACAGTTTTGCTATGTCTGGGAATAAATATGGTATGACGAGTATCATTGAAATTTTTTATCTTTCTTACATATCTAATTCTTGATAGGAGAAGAACAACTGTTTCATTCCGAAAACTTTGCATGCGAATGATCAAGTGACAACAATCAGAAAATCAAAACCTACTAGAATTTTGAGAACATTAATTAGATTTTGTCAGTTTTGCTTTCATACACTGTGAACAGACCCATAGCTTACCATCACATTCATTCAATAAAAAGAGCTTTATTGAATGAATGCCATTAGATATTTATTTGATAACAATCAATTTTAGGACTTTAACGCGTTGTTTCATATTTCAAAAGCGAAATTAAAGTTCTCTGATATTTGAAAATTAATTTTTTCAGCTCTATTATTGATACTGTAGTTCTTGTCTATGGAAAAAGATTTCAAGTGAAAATCTCGTCATTGAGTTTTTCATGAATAGCTGACTCAGAGGTCGAAAGCCTACTAAGACGGTGGTAACTCTGGTTGAGTAAGACATGAGTCCAAATCTTTTTAGGATTTTCTTGGTTTCACTGAGTGTTTTACTCATAACAAAATATGGGATCGAATGGTGCTTGATAGTTGGATATGTTCTCTCGTAAGTGATGAGAAAAAAAAATACAGAAAACAATAATTAGATTCTTTAAAATACTTATCAATAAATCCAAACATCATAGAAGTCAATTAAGATAGATATTCAAGGCTTTATAATTCATTTTATTTTACGAAAGAATATTACTAGAGAGCCTAATGGCAGTTTAATATTATTACAATCTATCTCATAAAATTAAAATGTTCTATTATAGTTCTATAATAAAAAATGCTATTATTTTAAGTCAGCCAGACGTTGTTTTTGTTGTTCAATTTGTGTACGAATATCTTGTGGCAAATCATCGCCTAATTGTTCATCAAGCCATTTCAATGTTTCATCAATATCAGTTAACCAATAATCCTTTGGTACACTCATTAATTTATCCCAATCAACACTGAGATCTTGAAGATTAATTGAACCTTTCTTTGGCAATAAACCAATTGGTGATGCATCAGCTACATCTTCACCATTAGTTCGTCGAATAATCCAATCAAGTACACGTATATTGTCACCTAAAATGAAGTATCATTAAATTGAATGATCTTATGCGATTATTTTTATGTATTGTTTACCATATCCTGGCCAAAGAAATTTGTTATTTTCATCCAAACGAAACCAATTGACATGAAAAATTTTTGGTAACTAAATAAAAGTACTCATATATGGGCAAAATTAAAACATGCGTATCTCAAAATAATGAACTTTCCTATAGCTCATATTCATATTTTACATATCTGTTAAGTGACTTTAGATACTGTGCAAAAATTAGTGCTAGAAACCTTTGTTAAGAGGAGTTACTAATAAAACCTAGTGTTAGTGACACAATAGAAAAATGGCATTGATCTTCATTTCATGCAATTTAGTTTTAAAAACTCCAAATTCAGACAAAATTAAATAATAGATTCTGCAGAGAAATTCTAAGATTACAAAAACTCTATTCGAAGCTTTTTCTGAGTATGCCTACATTTTTGCAAAAAAACACCAATTTACTTTTCGTTAATTACCTGACGAAGTATGAGTATACAAATGAAAAATACTTTTATAGCCGAATGAGAAATTTAAAATCAACCATAAATGGTACAAATCCTTCTTCAGAATCTCTAGAAAATTGATTTTGAAGAAGAAGTTTTCTAAGCCTGATCTTGCTGAAAAGTTTACCAAAGATGTGGTTATAATGTGCTACGCAAGTACAATTTTTCGCACTCAAACTCTGGCAGAAGCTAATTAATATCCAGCAGATACTTTCACAATCAGAGTACAGTTTTCAAATCTTTACTTTATATGAAAAGTATACTATGTAGTTTCTTCCATAAGCAGCAACAACAAGAAGTGATACTCTCAAATTTCATACAAAAAAGCAAGGGAACGCTGGAATGGAACTCAGTGTTGATGCGAAACGTCATAATGGTGAACACCTACATGAATACTTTCTCCATTACGATAATACATGTTAACTTTTCTAATAATTTTTTTCTCTTCATATATTCAATTACTTCGTCATATGATTCTTCATCATCTGTAAATGAACTTTCATTAAAAACGAATTTTCTTAGTAAAACAATATTGCTTTACATTTCTGTGACCTATTCTCAAGTACAATGAATTGCTCGATCATAAATGTTTATGTGTATGAAGAGGTGGCTGTGAGAGCATGGAGTACCAACACACACAATGGTATCCACAGCCAAGATCGATTCAACAATAATTAAATTAATACGCAAGATTTATTGTGTGAACATTCTCTTTTCGTCATCATAGAGTGTTGTTCATATGTTATTGAAAAGACATGTTGATAATCGAGGGTATTTTTTCAGAGCATCATGTCACTAAGAACTGTCTCAGGAACATTTTTTATCAAGGACAAAAAGTCAAGGACATTTCTTCAAGGACATTTTTTATAAGACATGGTAGACTGTTAGCGTCTGGTACCCGATCTGGTTGCAGAACATTAGATGCGGTTCGTGCCGTAGTCTCGTATGGTTAGAAAGATATCCGCTAATTATTTTTTAATTAATCAATTAATTTTAATTAGTTAATTGATTTTAATTAGTTAACTAACTGCCTAACTAATAAATTTTAATTAATAGTCATTTGATAAAGCCAAAACTTTTACATATGCCTATGCTAAAAGAACTTATTCAGTAAAATAACCCTTATAAAAAAGAAATCAAATGAAAGGTGAGTATGTTCTAGTTTGTCTGAAATGACTCATATCTAATTTGATTTTATTCACTATCAAGCTTTACTTTATTCTTTGGATCTTTTTCAAAATTGAGCCAATGTTGAATATAACGTCCAAAATTATAACCAACAAATGGTCTAAAATAAAATTTTAAAAAAAGAAATAAAATAATCTTTTTTTTCTTAGAAGCTATTTTCATTACCGCATAGCAAATGGATCATGCATAACTTGTTTTCCTGTATGTTCAGCAGCTGCTGTTGTTTCAGATTTAAGTTGTGAAGCAAGAAAAACACCATGTTTCCAATCGAGTGCTTCAATAACTAATGGAACACCTTCAGGTCTTCGTCCACCAAATATAATAGCTGATATAGGTACACCAGCTGGATCTTCCCATTTACTATGCATTATTGGACATTGTCGAGCTGGACAACAAAATCGAGCATTTGGATGACTTGATTTTTTTGTTTTATCTTCACCTAATTTATATCTTTCACCTGTCCATGATAGAATTTCAGTAGCAGGTGGTGTTTCATCTTCAAGGCCTTCCCAATAAAATCCACCATCAGCAGTTTCACCAACATTTGTAAATATTGAATTTTTTAAACATGTTAAAATAGCATTAGGATTTGTTTTCATATTTGTACCACTGGAAAAATCGATTTTAATTCATAAAAAGAAAAATAAACAACTTACGGTGCAACACCAAAAAATCCAGCTTCAGGATTAATAGCTCGTAATTCACCTGTTTCTTTATCAAATCTCATCCAAGCAATATCATCACCAATGCATCGAACTGTATAACCTGGTATTGTTGGTGTTAACATAGCTAAATTTGTTTTTCCACATGCTGATGGAAAAGCAGCAGCAATAAATTTTTCTTCACCTTGTGGATTTGTTACTGACATAATTAACATATGTTCAGCCAACCCTTTTATTTACAATAATAATAAAAAATGAGAAATTCTTTTTTTTTTTAAATATTAATTTACATACATCCTTCATCATACGCAATACGACCAGCAATACGTAAAGCAAAACATTTCTTGCCAAGTAAACTATTACCACCATAACCAGAACCATAACTAATTACTTTTCGATTATCAGGAAAATGAACGATCTAATATAAAAAATTTAATTTTTAAAAAGGCTGCTAATTACAAATATTTAAAATTATTTTACATTTCGAAAAGAATATGTTCATCAAATTTGAAATTTTAGTTGAGAAAGTAGAAAAATCATCAAAGCATTAAACATTCTCAAAAGATATTTTATTTATATTCTCGTTCATTGGAAATTATACAAGTAGATAAAAAAAAAATTTTGTCACAAGGAAATTACCCGAAATGATACCCGTCTTTTGAGCTCATATGGAGTTCATCAGAGGATCTCGATAAGACTAGAAAAATTCTAAAATGGTTCATGTGCACGAGCATCTGGAACGGAGTTGTGAGCATTTTACTGAATTTTCGATCCAGCTTAAGATATTCACTGACAAATTCAATAAAACGGTCATAAGTTGGCTCCAGAGACCCTTGTACACAAATCATTTTAGGATTTTTCTAGTCGTGCCAAGACCTCATTGTTAATCCAGCATGAGTTCAAACAACGAGTATCAGGTCGGATAGTTTCCTAGTCAGAATGATTAACTTACAATAGTTTTCTCTGGATTACATGGCCAATTGTTAACAACTTTTTGAGAATGTGGACGAGGACAACCTAAATGAATGTTATATTAGTTAGCTTGTTTTGGCCTTCATAAATAAATTCCTCTTACCCATGGAATGTAGACATTTGACAAATTCTTCATCATGTTTCAAATGCGGCCATATTTCTGATGAAACACGAGTCATTATTCTCATTGAAAGTAATACATAATTCGAATCGGTTACTTGTACACCAATTTTACTTAATGGTGAACCA